GCATTCCTCCCTGGAACCCTGCTGGCTAAGGGAGCTGTGACAACCTGTGCTTGTCTGGCATACCTGTGGGCAGTTTCAAAAAAAAAAAAAACCCAGTGAGGAGAAACACCAGCAACGCCTCCCCCCCAGCCCACCCCCTCTGTAAGATTCTTTCAGAGATTCTAACCGGGTTAGGTTCCAGTGTTTTTTGTTCATGAGGGCTAAGGGGCTCGCTCGAGCACTCCAGGCCAGCGTGGCAGCCTACTCTCGGCTCCTGCTTGCCGGCAAAGAGCAGGGACGTTCTTCCCACAAAGGCAGGGCGCTCGGTGCACCTCTTGGCCACCCCTCAACGGAGGTTTCGGTTAATTTCCTGTGTCACCAGGAAAAGCAGAGGGACCTGAGGGTCCCAAGGGACACCTTGCATGTTTTCCCAGCCCATTGTCTCTTTCTTTCTTTCTTTCTTTTTTTTTTTTTTTTTTTTGGTTTTTCGAGACAGGGTTTCTCTGTAGCTTTGGAGGCTGTCCTGGAACTCGCTCTGTAGACCAGGCTGGCCTCGAACTCACAGGGATCCACCTGGCTCTGCCTCCCGAGTGCTGGGATTAAAGACGTGCGCCACCAACGCCCGGCCCCATTGTCTCTTTCTTAGTACCTTGGATGATTTTTTTTTTCTTTTCCAACGCTTCTGTGAGGCGGGCGGAGAAGTCCTGATCTCAGTGTGCGAATGAGGAAACTCAGGCCACAGAAAGTCAGTTAGTGCCACCCTGGGGGGGTTGAAGACCCCCTAGTGTCTTGAGAGTGGGAGGACAGCAGGGGGGGGCTCAAATGGTGACACCCAGACTTACCGGCTCCCACCAGGGTTCAGTCTTCTGGGGAGGCCGCATTTCTGGCTTGGGTCTCACCTCACCTTCACTGTGCCTCCGAGGTCCCTTCAGCTTGCAGCCAAGGTCCGCCCAACCCTGCCCAGCATTCCTGGCCTGGCCCTCTCTCTGGGGCCATGCTCGGCGGCCCATGGAGGTCTCTTGTTACAGGTCAAAGAGCTAAATCCCTATTTGCAAAAAAAAAAAAAAAAAAAAAAACCCACAGCACTTCCTTCTGGCCCTGCCCTTAGGAATGTAGGTCCAGGGAGCATTCACAGGTCAATCTGTGGGGTGATAGAGTTGCCTTTGAGGGGGGGGGAATGTGCAGTAAGATACATGGTATGACATGTCCCCTAAAAGAAGAGTGAGCTGTCACGAAGATGTATTGGGCGGGGACACCACGCATGTGTGCGCGAGTGCGCGCATGTGCTCACACACACGCACACATGCACGTATGCATGCACGCACGTGAGTACAGGTGACAGTGGTTGTAGCCTAGAGGGAGGTCCCGTCTGTCAAAACGCATGTGGAGACCAGTGAGGACCCAGACATGAGCCTGGTGCACTCGGGGAGTCCTATAGTAACCCCAGCACAGCTGTCCATAGAGGGCTAAGACAGAGGTGATTTGGACCCACACAGTAGGGGCCTGGCGAGCTAGGCTAATGTTTGATTTCTCCAGACAGGGGAAGGAAGGGTGCTGGGTTGACCTCGAGGACAGGGCTCAGGGACCTCAGCTGGCCATTGAGGGCAAGGCCCCATGGGTGGGAAAGGGCTGCTGGGGTGGGCTGTCTTGGGTTTCCGAGACAGGGTTTCTCTGTGGCTTTGGAGGCTGTCCTAGAACTCTGTAGACCAGGCTGGCCTCGAACTCACAGAGATCCGCCTGCCTCTGCCTCCCGAGTGCTGGGATTAAAGGCGAGCGGCACCAACGCCCGGCTCCCTTTTGTGTTCTTACAGGGAGGCCTTCACCATCCCTTTGATTCCTCTTGGCCTGAAGGAAACCAAAGAAGTTGACTTTTCGATCATCCTCAAGGTGAGTCTCAAACAGTGGATTCCGCCTAAAGCCACTGCCACGAGTCAAGGGTCAGTTGACGTCTACGAGGTGACCCCAAGACCTCACCCGGCCGCTTGGCAGGAGAAGCTTCTGTATCCATTCCTCTCTGAAATTTTTTTTTTTTTTTTTTTTTTTTTGGTTTTTCGAGACAGGGTCTCTCTGTATTGTTTTGGAGGCTGTCCTGGAACTCGCTCTCTAGACCAGGCTGGTCTCGAACTCACAGAGATCCGCCTGCCTCTGCCTCCCGAGTGCTGGGATTAAAGTTGTGTGCCACCACCGCCTGGCTCCTCTGAAACTCTTGCTGCCATCTCTGGTGGCTTTTGACACCTTGTCCATCCCCATTATTGTCTGGGACTGGAACCCAGGGCCTTCTGCACGGGGCAGGCACTCTACAGAGAGCTGTGTTCTTAGTCTGTCTTCGGGGACTTTGTAGCTCCTTCTGTCTGCCTGGCAAAAGGTAGATGATACTCTCTGTTTTAGGGTCTTTATTCTCAAAGAAGTTTTCAAAGTTACATTTATGTATGCATATATTTGTGTGTGTGTCACGTGTATGTGTATTGTATGTGTAGTGTCTGTTGTGTGTATGTTTTCTGTGTGCATGTGTGTTTTCTCTGTGTATGGGTGTGTGTGTGTTCTCTGTGTGTATGTGTGTTTCCTCTGTGGGTATGTGTGCGCGTGTGCACGTGTGTGTTGCAGACAGGTGGATATGCAAACCTTTACGGGTGTTTGGAGGTCAAAGGACAATTTGCAGTTGGTTCTTTTCTTCCATCGTTTGGGTCCCAGGAGTAGAACTCGGGTCATCAGACTTGGCAGCAAGCTACCCTCTGCGCCGTCTTGCTGTCATTTTTCTTTGAGACAGTCTTACTATATAGCCCTAGCTGGAGCTCATGTGCATGAGGTGCCCTTGGAGGCCAGCGGGATCCCCCTGGATCTGGAGTGAGGGGCAGCTGCGAGCCACCTACTGTGCGTGCTACTGGGAACCTAACCCAGGTCCTCTGCCAGAGCAGTTAACCTTGGAGCCATCTCTCTAGCTGCTCAAGATGTGTCTTTTAAGAACAATTGGTCAACGCGTTGAAGACGTCCTTATTTGACCTCTGTTCTCAGAGGCTGTTCATCTCTTAACGGGCATTTAAAATTGTTATTGTTATGGTTATGGTTGGTGTGGGGGTTTGCCTGTGTGTGTGTATGTATGTGCGCTATGTGCACGCAATACCGGTAGCAGCCAGAAGAGGGCCACAGATCCCCTAAACTGGAGTTAGAGGTGTTTGTAAGCCGCTGTAGGGGTGCTGGGAAATGAACCCTGGTCTCTGGCGAGGACAGCTCTGAGCTACCGAGTCATGTATGTCTCCAACGCCTCCAGAGTCTTGTTTGTCTGTTTGTTTGTTTTAGACAGGGTTTCTCTATGTAGCCCTGGTTGCCCTCACTTTGTAGACCAGACTGGCCTGGAAGGCTAAGATCCACCTGCCTCTGACTCCTAAGGGCTGGGATTAAATATGTGTGTGTGTGTGTGTGTGTGTGTGTGTAGCAGGGGAGGGTACTCCAGTCGGAGAAGGGCAGGTAGTAGCAATTTAGGACACAAGGTTATCAGAAAATGGAATTTTCTGGGAGGGAAACACCTGAGCAGCGGCCGCCTTCTGCGGTCCCTTCCATGGGGTCGTCGAACTTCTGACTGACCTGTTTGCTCTGTGGAGGTCTAGGCAGTGTTTGAAGGAATGTGTCTGTGGCTTTGTTTCTTTAAGATTCAGCTTAGTGCCAGAGTTTACAAGAATGCAGGCATTTTTAAAGGCCATCCCGTGTTACAGAAACCCAGGGGTTTTATGGCATCCAAATAGGTCATGTGCCAAATTCCACATTAAAGGGAGTTAAAAAAAATCCCATGTTGTGGACATGGCCAACCACTGCTCAGCTGAGGTTCCCAAGCGTGTCATTTCGGTCTGAAAGGGAGTCTGCCGACGTCAGTCATGCAAACATGAGACCAGTTGGCTACACCTCCAGTTTTCTGCATTCCACACCTATGCTCGAGAGAAATTTGGACACCACAGGAGGGGTCAGTGAACTTGATCCAGGCGGTTCCATTTCAGACCTGACCTGTGTTTCCTTGGGCTGTTAGGTCACGCAAGCCTCATGATGTGACTTGTTTTATTTAAAGACATAGCCTTAAAGCAGCCATAGTCATTAGCAAGCACGTCAGTAAAGAGAGCCTGCCTGCCGTGAAGACCCTGTGCTCAGCCGGGCGGTGGTGGCACACACATTTAATCCCAGCCCTCGGGAGGCAGAGAAGCAGGCGGATCTCAGCGCGTTTGGGGCCAGCCTTGGTCTACAGAGTGAGTCCCAGGACAGCCCAGGCTTACCCAGAAAAATCCTGTCTTGGAAAAACCGAAAGGACCCTGGACTCTGTTGCCGTCGTTTGGAGATGCGGGGAGAAATGCCATTAAAATAAATTCTTTCCTGGGCAGTCACATGTGGCTTGGGCTGGCCTTGAACTCCTGGCCCTCTTGCCTCGACTTCTCCAGTACTGGCTCCACATCTAACTTCATGTTTTAGCAGTACTGGAAATTGGACCAAAGCTGCAAACAAAAATGGCACCGGACTACATCCCCAGCACCTGTTTTTCCTTTTTTTTTTTTTTTTTCTTTTGAGACAAAGTATCTGTGTAGCTGCTCCATCTTCTCGCCACAGCCTTCTAACTGCTAGGGTTCCAGGTTCACCCGGCTGCCACGCATATTTGTTTTCATGGTTTGGCAAGTCTTCCTCAAAATGTTGATTTTTTTTTTTGTTAGTGACTTCTAGTTTAGTAGCTATTTTGTGTGTTTGCATGTGTATGTTTTCGAAGGTGTGCTCATTTGTGCAAATGTGTGTGCGTGCTTGTATGTATATGTTTTCACAGGTGTGCTCATTTGTGCAAATGTGTGTGCGTGCTTGTATGTATATGTTTTCACAGGTGTGAAAGTGTGTTTGTATGTGTATGTTTTCACAGGTGTGCTCGTTTGTGCAAATGTGGGTGTGTTTGTATGTTTTCACAGGTGTGCTCGTTTGTGTAGATGTGTGTGTTTAAACCAGAGGTTAAAGTTGGGTGCATTCCTCTGTGGAGCTTCACCTTATTTATTTGTTTTCTGAGACAACGTTTCTCTGTGTAGCCCTGGCTGTCCTGGAACTCACTCTGTAGACCAGGCTGACCTGGAACTCACAGAGCTCTCCCTGCCTCTGCCTCCCGAGTGCTGGGATTAAAGGCGTGTACCACCATTGCTTGGTGACACCTTATCTTTTTTTTTAAATATAATATTCCATTAACTCTTGGAGTACTTCATATATTCACATAATGTATCTCGATCACACTCACCCACCCTGCTACTCCTTCTCCCAACTCCTCCCAGAGTCACTCCCCCCACTCCCCTGCCACTTCCTAACTTTATACGCTTTTATTCTTATAACCCACCTAATCCTACACGCTCAGGGGTATGGGGCCACCCGTGGGATCTTAGTGGATCTCCTACAGGCCACACCCTCGATGAGAACCAGCTGTCCCTCCCTCGGGAGCCATCCGTGGCTTGCCAGTTAGGGTGAAGTTTGTGCGCTCTCCCTGCTCTGCTGGAACGTTGACCGGGCTGTCTTGCACAGGTCAACTACAGCTTCTGTGGGTTCAGGAGTGCATGGGTTCTGTTGAGTCCAGAAGACGCCTGCCTCGCTCAGGTCGCCCCCAAACCTCCTCATTGTTCTGAGACGGACCTCTCATTGAATGTGGAGCCCATTCGACGCTTTTTTTTGGGGGGGGGTCAGTGAACTCCTATATCTGGTTATCTCACCCTCTCTCCAAGACATTAGGGTTCCGAGCATGCACCGTAGACCCAGCTTTTATACATGGGTGCTGAGGTTGCAATTCCGATGCTTCTGCAGCAAGTACTTTGTCTGCCTCCCCAACCCCCGGGTTTTTCTTTTTAATTTCATTTTAACTTTATTTTATGTGCATTGGTGTGAAGGTATCAGATCCACAGGAAATGGAGTTACAGACAGCCGTGAGCTGCTGTGTGGGTGCTGGGACTTGAACCCTGGACCTCTGGAAGAGCCGATAGTCCCCTTAACCACTGAGCCATCTCTCCAGCTCCAGCCCTGATTTTTTTTTTAAGATTTATTTTTCTTTTATTTTATACATGGGCGTTTTGTCTACATACAGGTCTGTGCCCCGTGCGCATGCCTGCTGCCCCTGGGGGATCAGAAGAGGGCATCAGATCCTCTAGAATTTGAGTTACAGATGGTTGTGAGCCACCATGTAGGAGCTGGGAATTGAACCCAGGTCCTTTTGAAAGAACGGCTGTGTTTCTTAACTGCCAAGCCATCTCTTAGCCACCCTCCCCCAACTTTTATATATTAACTTTTAAGACTCTTTAGTAAATTCTATTTTTGTTTGTTTTTTGAGACAAGGTTTCCTGGCTGTCCTGGAGCTCACTCTGTAGACCAGGTTGGCCTTGAACTCACAGAAATCCACTTGGCTCTGCCTCCTAGGGCTGGGATTAAAGGTGTGTGTTATGAGCATTCCCCACCAGCCTGGTCCCAGTGCCTAATCAACCCCAAACAACATACAGAAACTCTTATTAGTTACAATATTGTCCTCCAATATCCAGGGCTTCTCATTGGCTGGTTCTGTCTTAAGTATTAACCCATAATTATACACACACACACACACATACATGTATATATATATAGTTTTTTTCTATAAGGTCTTAGCTTACCAAGGACGCCAGCCTCATGTGTCCTCTCTTCCTGGGATCACATGGTGACCCTCTACTCTTGACTACATTTCCCAGAATCCTCCTCGACTCCAAGTCCCACCTATCTTGCTTCCCTATTGGCCAACGGTGCTTTATTTATCAACCGATAAGACAAACATATACACAGAAGGACTCCCCTCCCACCCCCAGTAAGTTGTACACCACCACCCATTGTCTATAAAAATCTTTTAAAAAGGAAAAAAAAAACAAATTTCGGCTGGGCGTTGGTGGCACACGCCTTTAGTCCCAGCACTCGGGAGGCAGAGGCAGGCGGATCTCTGTGATTTCTAGGCCAGCCTGGTCTACAAGAGCAGGACAGCCTCCCAAACAACGTAGAGAAACCCTGTCTGGAAAAACCAAAAAAAAAAAAAAAAAACAAGTTTCAAGTTTAGATTTGGGTTCCAAAATATAGTATGTGTACACAGCTGACGTGAAATCTGAAAAAGCCTGAAGTCAGAGGCGTCAACAATCCCAAGCGTTTTGGATAAGGGCTACTGGTCTAGCTTGTATATACCGTTAGGCCTGTTGAGGCTCACCTTCCCTGTGTCAGCACGAGCCCAGTGAAGGGGAAGGATCTGCAAACAGCGCTTGGCATATAGCAAGTGCCCATCACTGTCTGCTGAATGAACTCAAAGCTGTCGTCATGGGAGCTCTCAACTAAAGGGTTGTACTGGGTGGGGTTATGAGTCTAACCACCAGGGCTGTTCACACAAAGGTCCGCATCCCATCCAGACATCCCTAAGCCCAGGTTGCCTTGGCTCCGAAGGCTGCACGTTCAGGTCCTGAGTCAGGACAAAGGTGGAGGGTCTGGGCACTCGCAGGTCAGAAGGGGTTGCATATCATCACTTAACTGTTACAGAGATAGTTCTCCCTTCGATGTTTTTTCTTTTCCTTAAAAAAGTATATATATATATAAAATTTTTCCAGCCTTATCTACAGAGCCAGTTCTAGGACAGCCTCTGCCTCCCAAGTGCTGAGATTAAAGGCATTGCGCCGCCATTGCCCGGCCTGGTTTTTTGTTTTTTTGTTCTTTTTTTATAAGGCAAACTGTTGTGTCTGCAGCCCAGGCTGTCCTGATACTCAGCGTTGTTGTTGTATCTTGAGCTGCCTCAGATTTGCCAGCCCTCTTGTCTCAGTTTCCCAAGTGCCAGGATTACAGCTGTGCCCCGCAACACCACGTTTATGGTGCTGACACAGTGTTTCTCTCATGCTGGGACCGAAGGGGGCTCCCTATGTGGGAGTTCCCTTCCAGACCCCGGATTAGGCACAGACCGAAGACCCAAACACCGGGGAAGCAGGGAAAAGGGAGAAGGGGGAGGGGTTAAGGGAAAGGAGGCAGGAATGTTTGTCCCAGGGGGACAGAGACTTTGTCTGGGTGAAGAGGAGGCAAAAGAAGGTAAAGGGGAGACCCCCCCCCCCCCGTGAGGTGTTTGATTTCAATTGGGCCATGTTAATTAGGAGAGCCAGCTTCTGATAGTTGGTCCTTGGTCAAACTGAGTCTGATCCCAATGACAGATAACAACCCAGGGCTTTGTGTGTGCACTGGGTATCTCCCAACCCATCCTCATCCCCCACCCCATCCCCCAACCCCCTGCCGCCTTGCAACCCCAGATGTTGACTTCCCTTATCTTTTTTTTTTTCCCCCTTGCAGGATTTTATCTTGGAGCATTACAGTGAAGACAGCTACCTGTATGAAGATGACATTGCGGACCTTATGGACCTGAGGCAGGTAAGTGCGGCCAGGCGGAGTCAGCTTCCGCCTCAGGACATCCCACGACCGACACCTCTGGCCTTAGAGAGCCCAGGATGCCGGGGACAGAGAGGGGGGCTGTCAGCTCATCCAGGACACTTGCTGTACCGGAAAACCGTAGTAGGGGTGAGGCCCAGGGCTGGGTCCCAGGACTCCTCTCCTCCCCCTCTGCTCTGTCTCCTGGAGTTCATGATACCCACCCACAGCAGGGTATCTGTCTGAGGGTTCAGGCAAGCATGGGTCCCAGGCCAGGATTCTCACCTTGCTCTTCCTTTCCAGGCCTGTCGAACACCCAGCAGGGATGAGGCGGGGGTCGAGCTGCTCATGTCTTATTTCATCCAGCTGGGCTTTGTGGAGAGCAGGTTTTTCCCGCCCACCCACCACATGGGGCTCCTGTTTACCTGGTAGGTGCCCTCTGGGGTCCCCTCTGCTGGGCACCTCCCCATCCTGACTGTGGTGTTTGCCTGGCAAGTTCCAGGAGGCAGGGACTGTTTGAACTGCTGTTTGTGAACAGACCCAGAGGAGGAAAGCCGTGGCTTCTTCCTTCTCAAAACCTACAAGCCTCAGTTGGGGTGTTGGTGGCGCACACCTTTAATCCCAGCACTCAGGAGGCAGAGGCAGGTGAATCTTGTGAGTTCCAGGCTGGCCTGGTCTACTGAGGAAGTTCCAGGACAGCCTCCAAAACAATACAGAGAAACCCTGTCTCAAACCAAACAAACAAACAAACAAACAAACAAAAAACCAAAAAAACCAAGCCTCGAAAAGGGGTCCTTTTGTGTGTGTGTGTGTGTGTGTGTGTGTGCGCACGTGCGTGCATGCGCGCATGTGTGTGTTCATTTTGTCGTTGAGGGAAAAACCAGAGAGAGCCCTCAGGCATAACTGATGAGAAGTAAGACAAAGAAAGATTGTGTTTTGAGAAGATTCTTTTTTTTATATGGGGCAGGGCTGTGGGCATGAGCCGAAACTGAGTCAGATCCCAGTGACACGGGCAGCAAAAAGAAAGACAGGCTTCCACCACATAGTCCCAGGATCCTCTTAAACTGACCCCAAACTGGCTGCGATCCTCCTGTCTCTGCAACCCAAGTGCTGTGATTGTAGATGTGTGCCCCCGGGGAAGGAGATCTTAAAACTTGAAACAAAGCATTTTGACTCTTTTCCCATGATTGTTTAAAGATTAATACGGTTCCTTGAGAAAGGTTATTTTTTTTTAAGATTTATTTATTTTATTATGTATACAATGTTCTGTCTGCATATATTCCTGCACACCAGAAGAGGGCGCCAGATCTCATTAGAGATGGTTGTGAGCCACCATGTGGTTGCTGGGAATTGAACTCAGGACCTCTGGAAGAGCAGCCAATGCTCTTAATCTCTGAGTCATCTCTCCAGCCCGAAAAAGGTTCTTGATAGGTGGCCCGGACGGAAGGTCCAACTCACAATCCTCCTGCCTCAGCCTAGAGAGGGTGCCAGGAACATAGGCAAGGGCCACCAGGTCTGGCTTGTGGGGATTTCTTTTTCTTTCTTTTTCTGTTGAGATAGGCCTTCCTGAACATCCCAGGCTGGCTCCAAACCCATGATCCTCCTGCCTTAGCCTCTTGAATGCCAGACGATGGGTTTAAACCGCATGTCGCCAGAGACTGGTCATCTTGCTTGGAAACAGAAACCTGGTGGCCCGTGCATCTTTGAGTTTCATATGAGAAGTGAGTTTTTTGTTCTTGTGTGCCCAGAACCTCTTTGTCTCGCACAGGTATGACTCCCTCACTGGGGTTCCCGTCAGCCAGCAGAACTTGTTGCTGGAGAAGGCCAGCATTCTCTTCAACATCGGGGCACTGTACACCCAGATCGGGACCCGCTGTAACCGGCAGACAGAGACTGGGCTGGAGAGCGCGGTGGATGCCTTCCAGAGAGCTGCAGGTACGCGTCCTCCTTGGCAGCTGCGCTTCAGTCTCGGACCCATCAGATGGCACCAGCGGTGTTGGTGGTTCTATGCGGTCCTCTGTGGACCTACCAAGTACTCATCATGCCTTGCAAGTCTGACAAGGGTGGGCTGGGGGCATGGCTCCAGAGGTAGAAGGCTTGCCTGGCTTGAGGGAAACCCTAGAGTCCGTTTATAACATCACACACGCATTGAAGGAGGAAGGAATGGCCGTGTGACCTCTTTGTCAGGAAACTTCATCAATGACTGGCATCGTGGGATCTCAGCTCTGTAGGGCTCACGTGTATAATGAGGCTCGTAGTTAATGATTAGTTTTTTTTTCCAGGTGAGTGGCGGCTTCAGTGGTGGCCGGGAATAGTCCCCAATGACGGGAATACAGTAACTCGCCCTAACTAGTGAAGGTGTAGCCTTTAGAATTTTCTGTTAGGTCAGTAGAGTAATCTGTGCATAAGGGGACATGTCCCAGCACATGCAGGCGTGAAACTGTCAGCGGTTCTGAAGCCTCTGTGAGAGCTGGGAGCTCAGGAATAGGACGTTTGCCTGGCCTGGGTGAGGCGTCTGGGTTTGATATCCCCCTCCCCCTCCCCCTCCCCCCAGTGCTGCAGACACATGAAGGGAATGGGGAAAAGAGAAGGAAGGAGAGACAAAAGAATCCCCCACATATGTCCACATCTGAGATAGACTGGGCACAGTCAAAGATTGACAGTGAAAGAGGTCAGTGATAACGGACACAGTGCGTTATGAGTTGCCCGTTTCTGGAATTTTCCATGCGATATTATCATATTCCAGTTGGCCGAAGGTAACTGAGCCAGAACTAAAGCTGGACTTAGATGAAGGTAATTACTGTTATTACCTGCCCTCTCGGCATTATTGCTTAACCGGCCCAGTTTGCAAAGCCCGCGGTTGCCGATTTCAGAGCTGCCAGGTAACACGCACCAGGAGCCTGCTGCTTCTGTGGCTCTCGGAGACTGCAGGACACTTCTGGCTGCTTTTCCTACAGGGCTGGGTACTGCGGGACTTGTTTTGTAGTTCAGGTTGGCCTGGAACTTGGGGGTCCTTCCTGCCTCAGCCCAAGTGCTGAGAAGATGACAGATGTGAGCCACCACAATCAGCTTGTTTTTTTTTATTTATTTCTTCTCCCCATTTTAACTTCATCACCCTTATAGTTCACCCTGTTATGTTTTGTTTGTTTGTTTGTTTTCGAGACGGGGTTTCTCTGTATGGTTTTGGAGGCTGTCCCAAAACTCGCTCTTGTAGACCAGGCTGGCCTCGAACTCGCAGAGATCTGCCTGCCTCCGCCTCCCAAGTGCTGGGATTAAAGGTGTGTGCCGCCAACGCCCGGGGACCCTGTGATGAACCAGAATCAGGGAAAGAAAGAAGAAAACTAGCTTAGCACCAAGCTGTAAGGGCTGGGGCCGTGAGAGTTGGTGCAGCAGCCAGTCTGGCTCTGACCAAGGTATCAGAAAGCTCTGTGTCGCTCCCGTCCAGTGGGCCCTGGGTCTGCAGAATGGAGGGTAATAGTGGCAGTTGGATGCAGACCACAGGGTGACCCTCTAAGAAGCCTGTTGGATAGCTTTTTTTTTTTAATCATTTGAGACTAATTGCCACTATGTCCACCAACAGGGCCTTTAACTCACTACGTGGGCCACGCTGATTTTGAAGTCGCTCCCCGGCTTCCTGCGAGCCGCCATTACAAGTGTGCGCTCCTACTCGACACCCCAGCCTAGCACCCCATTGCCCTCTGTGCCCTTCATGTCCCCTCTCTCTGCACGAACCTGCCTGGAAGCGTCACTCTGAAGTCTGTGAGGGACCACAGCCCTGTCATTTCGACCCATGGAGGCACAGCCTTGTTAATATTTAGCTCAGGCCGGCCTCGATCTCCGGTCTCTGGCATGCTGGGAGGACAGGTTTGCTTTAATTGTGGCCGGCCTCTGAGGAGTCTTAGGGAGTCGCACCTTGTGACCTGCCTCCCGCCCTGAGGCTTCAGAAATACAAACAAGGAAACTTAGTGACCTGGGCCAGCCTGGGATGGAGGAAGGGAGGGGACCAGCAGCCATCCTTCTCTGGGGCAGCAAAACCAGGGGAACCAGTTGGATGGGATACAGGCAGCCCAGTCCCCTTCAGCTCCAGGTTAACCTTCACCACCTGCCACGGTTAACTTCGTCAGTCCAGGGTGGCAGCGTGGGCGTGTCCAGTGGAGGCTTCCCCCAGGGAAAAGCCCTGGCACCCCTCACTGCAGTGTTTGGGGTGTCCCAGGTAGGGCAGAAATAAAGGAGGACCAGCTGGCCCCCTTGCTTCACGCATATGTAAACGTCTTAGAAGAGATCCATTTAAAACAAATAGAAATCACAGCTTTAACTATCTCTTGCTGTGGTAAATTTGCATGAGATGCAATTACCTTGTTGACATTTTTTTTTAATTGGGCTTCTCGGCTGCATCGAGTACCAGGGCAGCCATCACTACCCTCCAGCCCCGGAGTGGCCTCATCGTGCACACCGGAGTGGGCCCTATTTCCTCCTGCTTTTATTCACCTATCGAGAGACAGGGGCGTCTTTCTGCGTCACATGTGCCGGGACTGCCGGGGTGTGTCACCACACCTGGCAACTCTGTACCTAGGAGACTGCGATGTCCCTTTCCTTGTTCCTGCAGCTCCTAGGGACCTCTGTTCTGCTCTGTGCCTCTGAGCTTGGCTGTTCCAGGAATCCTGTGCTGTCCGTCCTTCCTTGGCTGGCTTATTGTCCTCAGCATAAAGTCTTCATGTTGTCCACACTTTCCATCCCCCGTCTTTTGAGACGGGGTCTCACTAGGCAGCCCAGGCCTGAAATTGACTGTGTAGACCAGACAGGCTTGGAACTCACAGAGATCCCCCCCCACTTCCCCAGTGCTGGCGTTAAAGGCCAACACATTTGCTCATCTCGTTTGACTTGTGTACGGCACTGGGAATCGAGCCTGGGGCCTCTCGCGTTGTAAGCACACACCGTGCCACTGAGCTTTTCCTCCAGCCCGTCATTGTTGAGAGAAGCCTTTTCCTTGCCAGCCGCTTTGGATTTTCCCCGCCAGTCGCCTGGGCTCTGCCGCGTTGTATTCCCCAAATAACACACAAGACGCTGTATCAATTATGAAGCTGTTGGCCTTGCTTGTTTCTTACTGGCTAGCTCTGACTTAAGTATTTACTCCATAATTGTTAATCTAAGTATTTTTCTTACCGGAGAAGTTTCCCGGCTTCTTATCCCTATGGCAGTTACATCTTGACTCTCTGTGTTTCTCCTACCCAGAGTCCTCCTGGGCTCCTAGTCCCACTATCTTGCTTCCCTATTGGCCAACAGTGCTTATTGACATATACACAGGACTTCCCCCCTCGTGTCATCTTATTTTTTTCTTTTCTTTAAGGCTGAAGAATGTTCCGCTATGTGTGTGTGCGTAGATATTTTGCTCACCTGTTAATCCATCAGTGGGCATTGGGAGTGGTCTACCTGCTGGTTATTGGGACTAGAGTTGCGGTGAGCCTGGGTGTCCAAGTAGCAGTCAGGTCTTCCAAGCAGTTATTTAGGTCTCTGCAAAGGAGTGGAGCAGAGTCTAGCTGGCATGACAACTGGGTATCAGATAGAGTCTTGACATATATATATATATATCCAAGAATGTCTTTGAACATACAGTTTCCCTAGTGCTGGGATCAAAGCTTTGTTCCACACACTTGGCAAAATACACATTTTTCAAGATGCTTTAGGGTTATAAAGTGTGTGCCACCTTTACATGTACTTATATAAACTGCAGATGTCTTATATCACTGCACGCGTGTGTGTGTGTGTGTGTGTGTGTGTGTGTCCATCTATAACAGAAATATGTATAGATTATAAATTGTATATGCACATTGGATGCACGGACGCTCAGGGCCTCCTGCGCGCTATCCAAGCACTCCCTGATGTGTGATACCCCCAATCCGGTCGTGTTTTCTTTCTTCTTCCTCTACGGCGGCGCGATAAAGTGTGACTTCCCACTAACGAGCAACAAATTCTCTTCCTTCCTAGGGGTCTTAAACTATCTGAAAGAGACATTCACTCATACTCCAAGTTATGACATGAGCCCCGCCATGCTCAGCGTGCTGGTCAAGATGATGCTTGCCCAAGCCCAAGAAAGTATATTTGAGAAACTCTGCCTTCCAGGAACCCAGAATGAGTTCTTCGCACTGGTAAAGGTGGCTCAGGAGGCCGCCAAGGTAAAGGCGTCTTAGTTCCTGTGACTTCTGGGTAGGCGGGATCCCCGGGTACAGGTGCCTAGGAGCAGCGGGGGCGGGGGTGGGGTGGGGGTGGGGGCCGTCACCACAGCTGCTCCCCCACAACCTGCACCGTGCCAGCTCCGCCGAGGTGGCCGGCCTGCGTTTGCTTGGCAGGTGCTGGTGTTTCAGATACGGATCGTGGAGTCCATCTGCAGCCTAGCTGGAAACAAAACACGGCCTGATGACAGTTGTTTTAAGGCTGGCGCTGACAGCAGGCGGACTTGCTGGGCTTTATGCCCGCATTCTGGAGCATCCTCCAGCAGGGGGAGTTGACGGATTTGGCTGAGAAGAAAGGACCCCTTTCTCCGCGGCCAGGCTTGGGAGGGCCCCCCCTGCCAGACTCCCCCTCGCCCATATCCTTTCTGCTTCAGGTGGCGGAGGCCTACCAGCAGCTGCACGCAGCCATGAGCCAGGAGCCGGTGAAAGAGAACATCCCGTATTCGTGGGCCAGCGTGGCCTACGTGAAGGCCCACCACTACGGGGCCCTGGCTCACTACTTTGCCGCGGCTCTCCTCATCGATCACCAGCGTAAGGCTCGGGCGCGTAAGCATGGTGGGCTTGCCGCCTTTCGGGGAGGGGGGTGCTGAGCCCACAGGGAACTGACTTCGTGCCTTGGACATAGGCCCGCCGGAAGAGGCACAAGTCTGGAAAGGACACACTGACCCAAGTGGCTGTCACACAGGCCTGTGGAATTCGGGGTCGACCACCCGAATGGGAGTCGGGGGGGGGGGATAAACGGACAAGGTTTCTTTGTATAGCCCTGGCTGTCCTGGAACTCATTTTTGTAGGTCAGGCTGGCCTCCGACTCACAGAGATCCACCTGCTTCTGCCTTCCAAGGGGTGGGATTAAAGGTAGGCACCATCATACCCAGCTTAACATTATTTTTTAATATTTATTTTGTTTTTTTTTTGTTTTTGTTTTGTTTTACGGGACAGGGTTTCTCTGTATTGTTTTGGAGGCTGTCGGTCCAGCCTGGCCTCGAACTCTCAGAGATCCGCCTGCCTCTGCCTCCCGAGCGCTGGGATTAAAGGCGTGCGCCACCACCGCCCGGCTGTCTCAGCTGCAAAGAGACGCCATGGCTGAGGCATCTAACTGGAGGCTGGCTTGCAGTTTCAGAGGGGTTAGTTCATGACCATCACGGCAGGACACATGGTACCAGGCAGGCTTGGCGCTAGATAAGTAGCCGGAAGCTGCATCCTTATCCACAGGCGGCTGGCAGAGAGACAAAGGAAGTCACTGCGTCTCGTGTGGGTTTTTGAAATCTCAAACCCCATGCCCAGGGACACGCCTCCTCCATCAAGGCCATGCTTCCTAATCCCTTACAAACATTTCGTCAACCGGGGACTAGCCGTGCAAATATATGAGCCTAACTGGGCCGTTTTCATTCAAACCACACTGTATGTGAGTCTGTATGCGGGGAATTATACACTGAGTGCAGTGCCCACCGTGGCCACAAGAGGGTGGTAGATGCCTCAGAGCTGGAGGTGACAGGCAGTTGTAAGCAGCTTGATATGAACGCTGGGAACTGAACTAGGGTCCTCTGCAAGACCAGTATGCACTTTTTGTTGTTGTTGTTGTTATTGTTGTTTTTTTGACTTTTTGAGACAGGGTTTCTCTGTGTAACAGCCCTGGCTGTCCCGGAACTCACTTTGTAGGCCAGGCTGGCCTGGAACTCACAGAGATGCACCTGCCTCTTCCTCCCGAGTGCTGGGATTAAAAGTGTGGGCCACCACTGTCCCGTTTATTTTTGGAAGCTTTGGGGATGAAATACAGTGACTTAATCAGCAGCTTTTATTTTTAATTCATTTCATTATTGTATACCTACTTGGAGATGAGGTCTCCCTGCGTAGCCGAGGCTGGTCTTGAACTCAAGATCCTCCTGCGTTAGCCATTCGAATGCTAAGATTATAGGTGTGTGCCACCACACACATCCTCAGATAGTCATTTTGCTTTCTTTTGTTGAAACTGGATGTCATGCAGCTCAAGATGACCTTAAGCTCCTGTTTCTCTCTTAAGTGCGAGGCTTATAAGTGTCTGTCACTGTGTCCAGCTAAGGTGATGTATATTTAATGAGTGAATGATAGAATTAATTTGTATGTGCTGCTGATCGTCTTGGCCCATAGATATTTTAAATGAATCAAAATTAGGGCTAAAAAGAATCTGTGATTAAAATTTTAAATAAAAAAATCGGACATGGTGGTCCATGCTGTAAGTCCCAGAATTCCATAGGCAGAGGCAGATGGATCTGTGAGTTTGAGGCCAGTATGGTCTACAGAGTGAGTTCCAGGACAGCCAGGACTGTGTATACAGACACTTTCTCAAAAAAAGAAATACAAGGCCAGGCTTTGCGTTGGTGGTGCACGCCTTTAATCCCAGCACTCGGGAGGCAGAGGCAGGCGGATCTCTGTGAGTTCTAGGCCAGCCTGGTCTACAGAGAGAATTCCAAGACAGCCTCCAAAACAATACAAAGAAACCCTGTTTGGAAAAAACAAAACAAAACAAAACAAAATACAAAACAAAAAGCCACCACCAAAATTAAACCAAAATCGGGATTTCATAAAAAGTCCATATTGACTCCTGATGGTGGTGGAGCATGCCTTTAAATCCCAGCACTTGGGGGGCAGAGGCTGTGAAGGGGAGGATGTGACTATTTCGCTAGACTCAAGATAAATGACAAATGGGTGTTTATTGGGGAACAATTACACAGAGAAATACAAAGAACCGCAGGACCAGTTGTCTGCCCTTCCTACCGAATCGGCGGATCCACTAGAAAGACTGCACCGCACCAAGGAAAACTTCAAGCATCCCCTCGTTCAGCTTCCTGCTGCCTGAGGCCACGCCCAAGGGGGTGTGGCCATGGTTACAAGTTCTCAAGGCTGGCCTGGTCTACAGAGTGCCAGAGCTGCTACAGAGAGAAACCTTGTCTTTTTTTTTTTTTTTTTTTTTTTTTTTTTGGTTTTTCGAGACAGGGTTTCTCTGAGTTGTTTTGGAGGCTGTCCTGGAACTCACTCTGTAGACCAGGCTGGCCTCGAACTCACAGAGATCCGCCTGCCTCTGCCTCCCAAGTGCTGGGATTAAAGGTGTGCGCCACCAATGCCCGGCGAGAAACCTTGTCTTAAGGAGGCCAGTGTGACAAGGACTGGTGTCTTACCATGGGTCTTTCCCCTTCTGTTTTTTTTTTTTTATTACGTATACAGTGTTTTGCCTGCAGGCCACAGAAGAGGGCACCAGATCTCGTTACGGGTGGTTGTGAGCCACCATGTGGTTGCTGGGAATTGAACTCAGGACCTCTGGAAGAGCAGCCGGGGCTCTTAACCTCTGTGCCATCTCTCCAGCTCCCTCCCCTTCTGTCTGAATAAGATTCTGCCACATACCCTGAGCTGGCTTCGGGCTCACCGTCCCTCCCTGCCTCGTCCCCCTCGGTGCTGCCTATGAGCTACCAGGCTCTATCCCCTCATTTCATCCTAAGCACCACAATCAGCACTAACATCACGCGGCTGGGCACACGGTTTAGCAGTCAGACTGCTCGTTTAGCATGCAGGAAGCCCTGGGTTCAGTCTATAGGACTGAAAAAGCTGGGCGTGGCGGGCAGCACACGCCTAATAACCCTGCACTTGGAAGGTGGGGAGGTAGGAGCCTCAGAAGTTTAACTACATAGAGTAAGTGCAGGTCCAGCCTGAGCTGCTAGAGACTCTATCTCCCAAAATAACACAAAAGAACCCTTCCAGGGAGGAGGAAGGAAGGAGGGCTTATGGGGGGTATGGCAGCCCCTGGGAGCAATGCAGATGGGCCAGCCATCGCGTCACAGCTTTGCAAGAAGGCTCCATGAAACGGTCAGCTCGGAGGAGGAGGTAGAGAGAGGTTCAAATCCCCCTATATGCGGCTGTCATCCCCTTGGGCGCAAAGGCGTCAGGCCCAGTAGCCTCGGAGCCCCCAACAGAGCTTGGTGGCGTTGTTGGCACAGGCTGGGGTCTGGGGTCACTGTGTCCAGAGGGATGTAACCTGTGGCTGTCTTTGCAGTAAAGCGGGGCGCAGACGCAGACCACCAAGAGAAGTGCCTGTCCCAGCTCTACGCCCACATGCCGGAAGGGATGAGGCCTCTGGCCACGCTGAAGAACGATGGGCAGCGCATGCAACTGGGTGAGTGCGTGCTCCTAAGACCCCACCCCTAACGGGGCTCCCGGGGTGCGTGCTCCTCAGACCCCACCCCCAACGGGGCTCCCGGGGTGCGTGCGTGCGTGTTCCTGAGACCCCCACCCCCAACGGGGCTCCCGGGGTGCGTGCGTGCTCCTGAGACTCCCCACCCCTAACGGGGCTCCCGCGGTGCGTGCGTGCTCCTAAGACCCCACCCCTAACGGGGCTCCCTAACGGGGCTCCCGCGGTGCGTGCGTGCTCCTGAGACCCCCACCCCCAACGGGGCTCCCGAGGTGCGTGCGTGCTTCTGAGACCCCCACCCCAACGGGGCTCCCGGGGTGCGTGCGTGCTCCTAAGACCCCCACCCCCAACGGGGCTCCCGGGGTGCGTGCGTGCTCCTAAGACCCCCACCCCCAACGGGGCTCCTGGGGTGCGTGCGTGCTCCTGAGACCCCCACCCCCAACGGGGCTCCTGGGGTGCGTGCGGGCTCCTCAGACCCCCACCCCCAACGGGGCTCCTGGGGTGCGTGCGTGCTCCTGAGACCCCCCACCCCTAACGGGGCTCCTGGGGTGCGTGCGGGCTCCTGAGACCCCCACCCCCAACGGGGCTCCTGGGGTGCGTGCGTGCTCCTGAGACCCCCCACCCCTAACGGGGCTCCCGGGGTGCGTGCTCCTAAACCCCCACCCCCAACGGGGCTCCCGGGGGGAGGGCTCGGGAAAGGAGAGCACCCTGCACTGAGAAAGGGCGTGTGGGCCTGTCCTAGTCGCGGACAGCTTTCCAGAGTCAAGTTCTCAGCTCCATGAGTGTCCAAGCTCCCAGCCACCACCAGGTCCTCGAGACTACTTCCTGAGACACTGTAGCTGTTGGTGTCCCCTCCCTCGTCTCTCAGAGTTAGGGGTTCAATAAAGGTCCTTAGGTATGCAGGGCAAATACATTGCCACCCAACCATGCCCCTGCCCCCCTTTTTTTGTATTTTTCATTTGGGGGCCCTAGTTCTCGCTAGGATGCCCAGCTCTGTAGCCTGAGCTTGCCTGCCATCCTCCTGCCTCAGCATCCCAGGCGCTGGTACGAACTGGCTCCCCCTCACTGTCGTTGTTGTTAGGGTTCAGCACCAACAGCGAGTGGAGGTTGGGAGTGGGGTGTCCTGGCTGGGCCGTCGGCACGGACATCTCTCCATCTTGGTGACAAGTGGCGCTGCCTCTCTGGTGCGCCTGGGCCATGCTTGGCATTCCCAGTCCGCCTCTCCCACTCCACGGGCCAGCGAGCCACACGGGCTGAGGTCCCACCGCCCCGAGTGAAGTCACAGTACCTGCCTCGTGCTGACCCCATTAAAACTCCCACGGCTCCATGAGGTAGACACACACACACGCGCGCACATACTCATGCATGCACGCACACACATGCAGGCACACATACACATGCACGCACACATGCACGCACGCACACACACATGCACGCACACACACATGCACGCACACACATGCACACACACACATGCACACACGCACACGCACACACACCGAGAGACGATACCCCCCTTATGAAAGTCGCTCGATCAGAAAAGCCTCTCCTCGGTCTAGGAGATGTCTGCTTCTGTCTGCAGGCAAAGGGCACCTGCACCGAGCCCTCGGCTACCACGAGGAGTCGCTGAGGGAGGCCAACCTGTGCAAGAAGCTGCGGGACATCCAGGTGCTCCGGGATGTGCTCTCCGCCGCCCACCAGCGCACCCAGCTCAAGTACAACCAGCACCGAGAGGACGACGACCTTCTGAACCTGATTGCCGCTCCCGACGTGCTTCGTGAGTAGTGGGAGCCGCCGGCCGGCTGCGTGGCACCCGTGGGGTGGAGAGGGGCTGCAGCTACACAAGCCTGGGAGGGAGGGGCTGCAGGTACACAAGCCTGGGAGGGAGGGGGGGCTGCAGGTACAGAAGCCTGGGAGGGAGGGGCTGCAGGTACACAAGCCTGGGGTGGAGGGGGGGCTGCAGGTACACAAGCCTGGGGTGGAGGGGGGGCTGCAGGTACACAAGCCTGGGGTGGAGGGAGGAGGGGCTGCAGGTACACAAGCCTGGGGTGAGGAGGGACCTAGCGCCACTCCCCGCTGGATGGAGTGACGTCTAACCTGTGTCCACAGTGCCGGGGAGGCAAGACGGGGTGGGGGGGTGCCACAAGTTCAAAGCCAGTGTCAGCTCGGGCGGAGTGAGGCGAGGCAGGAGGATGCCCAAGTCCTAGGCCAGCCTTCACCTCAGAGCATCTCAGCCTCAATCCGCTTAAGTCCCGGCTTCCTCGCAGTCCCCGCCCCCTCTAAGTCTCCGCCCTCTCGCAGTCCCTGTCTTTTCTCAGTCCCCGCCCCTATCTCAGTCCCCGCCCCATCTCAATCACTGCCTGGTCTCAGTCCCCGCCCCCATCTCAGTCCCCGCCCCTCGCAGTCCCCACCCCTCGCAGTCTCCGCCCTCTTCGCAGTCCCTGTCCCTCGCAGTCCCTGTCTCTTCTCAGTCCCCGCCCCCATCTCAGTACCCGCCCCATCTAAGTCCCCGCCCCCTCGCAGTCCCTGCCCTCTTCTCAGTCCCCGCCCCTACCTCAGTCCCCGCCCCATCTCAATCACTGCCTGGTCTCAGTCCCCGCCCCCATCTCAGTCCCCACCCCTCGCAGTCTCCGCCCTCTTCGCAGTCCCCGTCCCTCGCAGTCCCTGTCTCTTCTCAGTCCCCGCCCCTATCTCAGTCCCCGCCCCATCTCAATCACTGCCTGGTCTCAGTCCCCGCCCCTCTCAGTCCCCGCCCCTCTCAGTCCCCACCCCTTCTCAGTCCCCGCCCCTTCTCCCAGGGCCCCTTTCAGTCCCCGCCCCCTCTCAGTTCCTACCCCTCTCAGTCCCCGCCTCCTTGCAGTCCCCGCCCCTCGCAGTCCCCGCCCCTCGCAGTCCCCGCCCCTCGCAGTCCCCGCCTCCTCCCCTGAGTCTTCCTGGGCGCCATGCTTCAGGCTCCCCTGGTCTTGCTGCGCGCCCCTGAGTCTGCCTCGCTGTGCTCCCTGCCGACTCCTCCTGCCCTGCCCACCCTCCCCGCCTTTCCCCGAGCTCTGCTTTCTCTGGTCGGGCTCGGTGTCTCCCTCCTCGTGCTGTCCCGGGCCTGCTCCGGGTTTCAGTTGACCCCTCTCACCCAGAAGATGCCGGGGGCTTCGTGGGCAGCCCTGCGGCTTCCGCCAAGGACTACACCGGGCGTCGTCTTTTCCTCCCTAGCTTGGAAGTCAAGCGTGCACCTGTTTGCACTCCTGGATTTCCCTTTTCCTCTTTCGTAGCCCCAGCGTTTCTAAACCTCTCCTAGGTAGTGTCGAGGTGGCCTGGACAGTTACCAAGTCATGTCTCTGCAGGACTCCGCTCAATCGGTCACTTTACAGTGAGGGCCAACTAGGATTTTTTTTTCTTTTTAGTTAGAGATGGGAAATTGGAGGGTAAGCCAACTGAGTAGGGGCCCTCGTGAGCGTGTAGAGGAAAAACCAGTTCAAGCTGGGCCTCTGCGGCATTCCTCCCTCCAGGGTCTGGGGCAGGTCCCTTTGGAATGGAGAGGTCTCCTGACCTGCCAGGAGACAAGCATCTGCCGGAGAATTTGTCTGCGGCCAGATCCTAGACAGGCGGATTAGAGCTTTTCTGATGGCCTGTGAGGACAGGGGTTTTAGTTTCCTTAGCCTGCTTGGGGGAGGGAGTTTCGAACTGTGGACGAGAGTCAACAGCGTATGTGTCACAGGATCTCACCCTCCTTGTTTCCAGCGCCTGTGATCTTGGTCTCTAGAGTTTCCTCCTTAGGGACAGGACCTGTTCAAGCCAGAATACTGGGCTCTTCTGTATCGGCGTTAGCATTTGGGGGTCTGCCAGCGGCCATCGTGTGTTAGTACTGAAGATGGTGCTAATACTGCCTGTGTTGGAGATGACCAAGTAGCTTGGTGGTTAGGTGCTTTAGATTCCTGCAGGTGTGGCTCAGTGGTGGAGTCCCTGCCTAGAATTCCCCCAGTAAGGGACTGGGGTGTGGCTCAGTGGTAGAGCCCCTGCCTAGAATTCCCCAGTGAGGGACTGGGGGCATGGCTCAGTGGTAGAGCCCCTGCCTAGAATTCCCCAGTGAGGGACTGGGGGCATGGCTCAGTGGTAGAGCCCCTGCCTAGAATCCCCCAGTGAGGGGCTGGGGTGTGGCTCAGTGGTAGAGCCCCTGCCTAGAATCCCCCAGTGAGGGACTGGGGGCGTGGCTCAGTGGTAGAGCCCCTGCCTAGAATCCCCCAGTGAGGGGCTGGGATGTGGTTCTGTGCACTTCCTAGTGTATGTAAGGCCCTGCATTTGATCTGGCAAAGAGTTTGAAATGCTTAGGGATCCACATTTTTGTCCTGGCTGCCCTACATCAGGTGGAAGCAGGAACACCTACCTGTCAAAGGTTCCACTCAGATGCTGTATTCCCCTCGGCCCAGGGGGAGGCACCAACCTCCATGGCAGAAGTGGCTTTATCACTCCAGAGCAGGCGTGAGCCCCATGGGAACCCAGCGTCCTGTCGATGTTCTTAAGAGCCGGCAGGGTCGTCATGTAAATGGAGGGAATCTGCCTTGGTGGCCGGGCTTTCTGCTGTGGGTAGAGACTCCTTTTGGGGGTGTGTGTGTCAAATAACCCTTTTGCAAGGAAAGGCCAGAGGCTTACACAATGGTTCGTAACGGTAGGAAAATTACAGCCGAGGAGTAGCAATGAAATAATAGTATGGTTGGGAACCACCAAAACATGAGGGACCGTGTTAAAGGGTCACAGCATTGGGAAGGTTGAAAACCACTACCTGAACAAGCCTCGGAAAATGGAGTTTTGTCTGGTTGTCTTCTTCCCAGCCCCAATAAAAGCATGGTCACTCGGGGCCAGGCCCGAGAGGTTTTCCACCTACTCTGCCAGGCATTTTAAGGGGTTTTAGTGTCTTTGGAGGGGGGGGGGTTCAGACCTGAGTTCTCAAGAATTAATTTCCGTGACACACCCACTCACCCCAACCTGTAATCTTTTCTAGCAAAAACTGAGCGAGAGGCTGAAATAACCTCCCCCGAGTTCTCCAAAGTGACAGTCACAGACTTTTTCCAGAAGCTGGTAAGTCGGCCACTTACGTTATTTTGACCCCTTATTTTATGACTTACCTGAAGACTTTGAACCTTTTAACTTTTCTCTTTCTTTATTATTATTATTATTATTTTTATTTTGTTTTGAGGCAAGGTTTCTTTGTGTAGCCCTGGCTGTCTTAGAAACTGACTCTGTATACCAGGATGCTCTCAGACTCACGGAGACCCGCCTGCCTCTGCCTCCCGAGTGCTGGGATTAAAGGCATGCGCCATCATGCCATATTAAGATAGTAGGCTCAAAGCTGGGCATTGGTGGCGCATGTCTTTAATCCCAGCACTCGGGAGGCAGAGGCGGGTGGACCTCTGTGTGTTTGAGACCAACCTGGGCCTTGCGGCAACTCTGCCTCCAAACCCTTCACCCTATGACTCTCTCTTCCCAAGGGGCCCCTGTCTGTGTTTTCCGCCAACAAGAGATGGACACCTCCTCGAGGAATTTGCTTCACGGTGGAGGAGGGGGACCTCGGTTTCACTCTTCGGGGGAACGCTCCAGTCCAGGTGCACTTCCTGGATCCTCGCTGTTCTGCTTCGGTAAGTGGGAGGCCCGTGGAGATGAGGAGGAGTCAGAGCTGCCCGCCTGCACATGAGTAGCTGGGTGATGGAGTTTTTTTTTTTGGGTTTTGTAGTAAATCTTAATGTAAATGTGGGGCCGGGGATATAGCTCAGTGTTGGAGCACTTCATTAGCATATGGACATGCCACAGAAAAGTCAAAAGACAGCCGGGCGTTGGTGGCGCACGCCTTTAATCCCAGCACTCGGGAGGCAGAGGCAGGCGGATCTCTGTGAGTTCGAGACCAGCCTGGACTACCAAGCAAGTTCCAGGACAGCCTCCAAAGCCACAGAGAAACCCTGTCTTGAAAAACCAAAAAAAAAAAAAAAAAAAAAAGAAAGAAAAGTCAAAAGACAAAATACAAGGGACTTACAGCAGTGGCCGCTTAGACGGAGAATCTGGGGACACAGTCTGAGATTTAGTCACAGTCTGAGATTTAATGAGCGACTCCTGACATTCATTCAAATGTTTCTTTTTAGCTGGCAGGAGCCAAGGAAGGAGATTACATTGTTTCCATTCAAGGCGTAGATTGTAAATGGCTGACTGTGGGAGAGGTTATGAAGTTGCTGAAGAGCTTTGAAGGGGACCAAGTTGAGATGAAGGTGGTGAGCCTCCTGGACTCCACATCATCCATGGTGAGCGGCAGACACCCCCATGGTGAATAGTGGGTTGCGGGTGTGTGTGTGTGTATGTGTGTGTGTGTGTGTGTGTGTCAGTGGGAGTTTGGCTTTGGCGTTGTCAGGCCCCGTCTCCCACCTATATATAACGTGGCAGGAGCATCTAAGGCCACCCCGGGTTCTCTCTGCTTGTCATCCTGGAGTGCACTTGCCCTGGGTCAGAGAGAACGCGAAAACTGACTTTTGTCCCAGAGTGATGCAATAAAAATGCTCAGATAAAACTGAACCTAGCGTATGCCTGGAATCCTATCATCTGGAAGGGGCACATAGGAAGGTTGAGTTCCTGGCCAGCCTGGGATACATACACTGTGAGACCCTATGCTGGATGGATAGATGGATGGATGGATGGATGGATGGATGGATGGATGGATGGATGGATAGGTGGGTGGGTGGGTGGGTGGGTGGGTGGGTGGGTAGGTGGATGGGTGGATGACAGATAGATGGTTCCAGGCTGGAGAGATGGCTCAGAGGTTAAGAGCACTGGCTGCTCTTCCCAGCCACATGGTGGCTCACAGCCTTCTATAATGAGATCTGGCGCCCTCTTCTGGTGTGCAGGCATACATGCAGGCGGAACTCTGTGTCTAATAAATAAGTCTTCAAACAAGTGTCCTGGGGACCAGAGGGGTCTACAGGAAGTGGAGCAGAGGGCTTGTTTACAGGGGTGGATAGAGGTTGGAAGCCTTTCCGTCTTTACAGAGCGGTGCTGACATGGTCTGGTGTTTGTTTTACGAGGATAACTACTGCCTAGAGGCAGGTCATAGGTATCTGGCCAAGTGGTGGAGAGAGAGAGAGAGAGAGAGAGAGAGAGAGAGAGAGAGAGAGAGAGAGAGAGAGAGAGAGAGAGAGAGAGAGAGAGAGAGAGAGAGAGAGAGTGTTGTGCTCCTATGCAGCATTTGACAGCTGTATTCCTTCATGCTGCTATGACTGAAGTCAGCAGACTTAGGAGAAACTTCAGGGGACGCCCCATCATGGTGGGGGAGGGCCTTGCCAGCAGGGGCGGGTCTATCTGTCCTCACATCTTGGTAGATCAGCCGATATCACCTTCCAGGCTCCTTTCCATAGCCTCCCAAAGTGAGGGCAGCCTGGAAACAGCCAAAAAAATAAATTAAGGCAAATGAAGGAGGTTGAGACCCGAGGTGCCCTGGAAGGAAGCCATGGAAAATGCTGTGGGGGTAGGAACCCACAGGGAAAATCCGAGGGGCTCCCGCACAGGCCATCAGGAGCAGAAAAGTTCGAGAAGAGGCCGTGCAGACGGCTGTGCACGGTCTTGACCGTGGCCAGGAGTCTGGACTCCACAGGGCTTGCTGCGCCACCTTGGAACCAGGCAGCAACGTGGTGGTTAAAAAGCGGCCGTACAACAGATAACCTGGCTGGATTTGAATTCTGGCCCCAGCCAGTCAGGGAGAGCTCGGGCCAGTCCGAGAATAGCTCCGAAGCTCCAGACAGTGGGAAGGGAGGATCTGTGTGGCCTTAGCGGGCCACCGTGAGTTAGCGTAGCCCGTACGGCAGGGCACGGAGATCCGCTTGTGTGTACGATGGTTGTGACAATGATGCCCATGCTTCCTATGGCCGCTCTTTGTAGCCGGGGAAGGCTGCGGATAGTGGCACCCGAGTTTGCCGTTAGAAGAGTTCCGGTTGCTAGTGTTAATTATGCGTAGGTGCGTGTCTGCCTGTGGGCGTGCTCACGCGAGTGCAGGCGACAGAGTGTCAGGTCCCTTGGAGCTGGAGTTATGGCCGGTTGTGTGCCTTTCAACACGGTACGGGGAGCTGAACTCAGGTCCTCTGGGAGAGCCGAGGCTGCTCTTAACCACTGAGATGTTTCTCAGCCTCGGAACTCTGCTTATAGCGACAAAACCCAGCGGTGAGGGCTGGGGATGTGGCTCAACCGTGTAGCACCTGCTTGGCATGCCCTGGGTTCCCTCCCAGTGATGGAGGGCTGTGCCGCCGGAGTCAGCCACCTGACACTCTTTTTTGACGGCACTCCTCTAGGGAGGAGTACAGCCACAGTGGAAAGAACCCATGCTTTGGAATGGCGAGCTGGAGTCAGGTCCTGACTGTCAAGCTGTGTGACTTCAGTTGCTTAACACCCTCTCTGGGCCTTGATGTGTACTCGGCGGGAAGTTTTAGCAGTTTGGCAGTGCGGTGTTTCCAGAAATGCTCTGTGAAAAGCCCCCAAAGTTCCAGATGGGGGGGCAGAAAGGCTTGTCGAGTCAGTAGCAGGGGGCACGCTGTGCGGGACCGAGGGAAAAGGGAGGGAGGACCTGGGAGGGTAGCTGACCCCGGAGTGACCCTGGGAGGGGGAGGGCCAAGAATGTGGGGGTATGTGCATGCAGGCAGGCATGCTTGGGTAGCGTGTGGAGCAAGCCTGTGTCTGCTGGGAGCAGTCTGTGAGCCAGGAATGTGGGGTGTGGGCTGGTACCTGGAGGAGAGGAGTCCGAGGAATCCAGGCAGCACGAGGCTCCCTGGAGGATGGGTATCTGCGTTGAGAGGTTGCAGGTGGGCAGAGAGGGTTGCGAGAGAGGCAGTTGGGAGCAAAGGGCTGGATGGTGCCGTCAGGGGAAGACAGGAGCACCGGGTCAGGGGTCATTATGCCGAGACACCTGGTTAGGAAAGCCGGTCAGTTGGGGACATATCCTCGGGCCATTTGCAGCAGCCGCTTTGAAGGATGATGGGGTGGGGCGGGGAGGGAGGCCGAGGTGGAATTTAACTGGAGCTGACACCCTGCCGAAGGGGTAAGGAAGAGGCTTGAGGACTGAGAAAGCAGTCACCCTGAGAGAAGGCTGGAAGTGCTCAAAACCCTATAAGCTGCCTCCGAGGTTTAGGTTCCATTGTTTTTAGCTAGAGAGTGTGTGACCTGTTGGAGTGTAGGAGAGGGAGACTCGTGATTGAAATCAGCAGAGTCCAAGGTGTCCTGGTCAGGGCCACTGTTGCTGTGATGAAACAGCATGACGGGGAGGAAAGGGTTTATCTCACTCACAGCTCCATGGGACAGTTCATCGTCAAAAGCTATGAGGGCAGGAACTCAAGCTGGACAGGAACCTGGAGGCGGGAGCTGATGCAGAGGCCACGGAGGGATGCTGCTTACTGGCTTGCTCCCCATGGCTGGCTCAGCCTGCTTCCTTATAGAACCCAGGACCACCTGTATAAGGATGGCTCCACCCACAATGGGCTGGACTCGCCTACATCAATCACTAATTAAGAAAATGCTCTACAGCATTTTCTCAATCCAGGTTCCCTTTTCTCAGTGACTGTCCTGGGTCGAGTTGACATAAACTAGCCGGCACACAGGGGGACTCACCGTAAATATCCTCCCCAAATTGTCCCCTGTATTAAAAATCAGACAGGAAACTCTAGACCCCCACCCTTGGCTTCCTGGGTGCTAAGACTGTACCACACTGCCTCTGTCCTGGTTTACAGGTGAAGTTTCAGTCTCGTTTCAGTCTGTGTGTGTGTGTGTGTGTGTGTGTGTGTGTTCCACGGAGCACGCGTGAGGTCAGGGACGACTTGCAGGCATCGGTTAGCTCTCTCCTTCCACACGTGGGTGCTTTTACCTGCTGAGGCAGCTTGCAGTCCCTTTGTCCTAGCTTTTCAGAGCCTAATTCTTTTTTTTTTTTTAAGATTTATTTACTTTATGTATACAGTGTCCTGCCTACATGTATGCCCGCAGGCCAGAAGAGGGCATTACAGAAGATCTCGTTATAGATGGTTGTGAGCCACCATGTGGGTGCTGGGAATTGAACCCAGGTCCTCTGGAAGAGCGGCCAGTGCTCTTAACCCCTGAGCCATCTCTCCAGCCCCCAGAGCCTAATTCTATAAAAGCATCAGCCACTCAAGTTTTAGATTTCCTTTTTACATTTATTTATTGTGTGAGCACACTGTAGCGTGTGTGTGTGTGTGTGTGTGTGTGTGTGTGTGTGTGCGCGCGCGTGCGCGCGAGCGTGCAGAGGCTGCAGGATAACTCGGGGAGCCTTTTCCCCTTTCCGTCAGACAGATTCAGGTTGTTGGGTTGACAGCAAGCCCCTTCACCCTCTGAGCCGTGCTGCTGACCTGCCGTCACCCTGACGTCAAAGAGGATACTGTCAGAGTACAATGTGAGCCTTAGAATTGTGGGGTCTGCTGTGACCCGCTCGCCTCCAACTCATTCTGTAGCCAAGCCTGGCTTTGAATTTATAATCCTCTTGCTTCTGCCTCCCAAGTGCTGGGGTTCCAGGCATGGGCCTCCTCCCCTGGCTTGAGTCTCAGACTTGTCAATCATTACTGTCTAGCGATAGCTAACACTTTTCTTCTTTTTTAAAAATTAATTTTATTTTTTACATTCCAATCCTAGTCCCCCCTCCCTCCTCTCTTCTGCTCCCCCCCCCACCTCCCATCTGCTCCTCAGAGAGGGTGAGGCCTCCCCTAGGAAGTCTACTAAGTCTGTCCCATCATCTCGTTGAGACAGGACCGAGGCACCTCCCCACCCCCACACCCCTGTGTCTAGGCTGAGCAAGGGATCTCTCCATATAGAATGGGCTCCACTAAGTCAGTCTGTGCATTAGAGTTAGACCTTGGACCCCTGCCAGTGGCCTCATATATTGTCCCAGCCACACCATTGTCACCTATATTAAGGGAGTCTAGCTCAGTCTTATGCAGTGCAGGTTCCCCATTTGTCAGACCTGAGTCAGTGATCTCTCTCTAGCTCGGGTCAGCTGATTCTGTGGTTTTTCCCATCATGATCTCGACTCCTTTGTTCATGTTATCGCTCCTCCCTCACTTCGATTGTGCTCCGGGAGCTTGGCCAAATGGTTAGTTGTGGATTTCTGCATCTGTTTCTGGAAGAGGGTTCTAGCTTCTCTGGGGTTGTAGATTGTGGGCTGGGTATCTTTTATGTCTGGTGTTCCCCTTATGAATGAGTACATACTGTATTTGTCTTTCTGGTTTTGGTTTACCTCACCCAGTATCGATTCTTTCTAGTTCTGTCCGTTTGCCTGGGAGGTTGTAGGATGCCATTGTTTCTGACCGCTGAGTAGTAGTACTCAATGTGAAATACACCGCATTGTCTTTATCCATTCTCCAACTGAGGGGACGCCTGGGTTGTTTCCGAGATCCGGCTACCGCGAGTAACGTTGCTGTGAACGCGGCCCGGCGAACGTCCTTGTGGTGTGAGTGACACTTTTCTCCTTCCTTCCCCACGAGCAGCACAGCAAGTGTGCCACTTACTCTGTGGGGATGCAGAAGACTTACTCCATGATCTGCCTGTCCACGGGTGACGACGGTAAGACTGACAAAGCCAAGAAGATCTCAAAGAAGCTCTCCTTTTTGAGCTGGAGCACCAGTAAAAACAGACACAAGTCAAGCAGCACGCTCTACCTCCCGTCCGTTGGCCTGGCGAGGCCCCAAACCAAGAAGAAACTCCCGACGCCCTTCAGCCTGCTCAACTCCGACAGCTCTCTGTACTGACGGGGAGCACAGGACGGTTCACTCCGAGGACGGCGAGCCTGTTGGGACGCCCGTGCCACAGATGGAAATGTTCTCCAACCCTCTTCTCAAGAGTGTACACTTGTGACTGATGGAAGGGCTTCTGCAAGGAAGAAGAGACCTGGAAGATGGTGGCAAACCCAGCTGCAGGGGGATTTTCAGACTGCAGTTATTTATTCTATAAAGTAGGGCGTACAAGAGCCTGGATGATGCCGCTGTTTTTAATGGCTGTGGCTATGACGCTCAGGTGCCGTGAGAAAATAATCGGGGCCGCCTACCTTGGTGTATTTTTCTGAGCGCCTGGATTTGGGTAGTGGTGACTTCTTAACCTCAAGTTCAAATGACCCTTGAGTGGAGGCAGGCTACAGGTGGTTTACTGACGCCTGGCTGCTTGGCAGATCTCTGTGAGTTCGAGGCCAGTCTGCTCTACGTAAGTGAGTTCCAGGACAGCCAGGGCCACACAGAGAAACCCTGTCTCAACAAACAAACAAAAACAAAACAGGCTGCTTTCTCCCCTTGGGAGTTCATGGGCTGAAAATGGCAATATGTTTTTTATGTCATTTCTCTGTAATTTAAACGTTATTTCCCAGATGATGTCCAGTGCCAATGCTGCCTCGACTGTTTCCAGGGTCAGCTCTCCCCCCAGTCAGTCCCGCTGACCAGCTGCTAACACGTGACAGTGTTAGGAGATACTGTCTACAGGGTAGATAATATGCTGTTTGATACTCAAAACGTCCTTTTTGTTTAAAGTAGGAGGTGTGTAACTGTGTATTTCAAGAGTCTCAGTTTAAGAAGTAGCTCTGCAGTTTACAAGGTAAAGACGTAAACTTCCTCAAGTTGAATCTCTGTTTGACTTTTTTAAGATGTATCTACCTGCCAACTTGACTTTGGGGCTGTAGGTTGGATGACACCGTGACTGTTTTCCTGAGTCATGGTTGACATAGTTTAAGTGATAATGCTTAAATTTGTAGCCTGTGGATCTTAATTTGAGAAGTAAAAGAATTTAAATATTTTTCTATTGTGCAATACCTTAAGAAAGCCAACGCCTTCAGGAAAGTGTGCCCGCTATCCCTGGGCTTCTTTATATATTTAAATAAATAGTCACGTTCATTGTTTGAATTAATAATTTCCTTTGCTTTTATTTCCTTTGAACTACTTCTTCTGAACGGTTATTCATCAGAGGCACGAAATATTTTTATTGTGTTGAGGGCGGGGGGGGGGGGGGGATGAAGGAAGAGAGGCGTTTGCTTACACTGGCAGTGACTCCAGAACCACAGGCCCCCGATGCGTGGGGAGAAGACCTGAGCTATGCCTTGACACTGGGAACGGGGGCCACCCCCACACAGTGCCAGCCCCTGGCACGCAGCGCCTGGAACCTCCCAGGACCTCTCAATGGCAGACGCAGGGGAAGGTGCTGGACAAACCTCGAGCTGGCTGCGGTTGAGTCTGACACCCTCTGGATGATCCCCACGGGATCCTTTTCATCTCAGCAGAAAGTAGGGCGGCGCCACCGCAGCCCCAGGGCCCCGTAGAGCCGCTTCCCGGACGGACGGACGGACAAGGCAGGGTGGCCTGAGAGCTCCACGGGTCCTCGCCCTGCCTTTCTCTTGTGGCCACCGAGGGGAGGGCTTTCCTTGTCCTTTTCAAGTCTGGCCGGTCGTCTAAAGGAGGCAAAGTTGGCTGCGGGGCGGGGCTGCCCGTCAGTGAGGTCGGGTGAAGAAGGCGTGGATCTGCCGGGCCACCGCGTGTCCCACGACCTCCTCGAGTTCTCGGACGGACGCGTTACTCAGTTGCTGGATGGTGGGAAACCTCTGCAGCAGAAGAGGCGCCTTCACTTTCCCAACCCCTGGGATCTGCTGCACAGTCTGAACAAGGGACAGCTCGGGGAGCGCACACCGCTTCTTCCGGAGGAAAGGGTTCCTGCTGGGCTCCCTGGTTTGCTCTTGGACCTGAGTGGGGAAATGACAGGGAAAGCACATGGGCGCCCTCTGGTGGACATTTCTGTAAAAAATGTGTGCCCCTAAGGCATTGGGAGACTTTATTTTATTTACTTATATTTTTGAGGCAGGGTCTCCTGCTAGACTCGGAGCTCGCCAACTTGGCTAGAGTGGCCAGTGAGCTCCAGGGACCTCCCAGTCGTCACCTCCTCAGGGACTTGGTCCTCATATCCATGTGGTGGGCTCTTTCTTTACTGTGACATTTTCCCAGCTCCTTAGAACAGTTTACCCATTTGCTTCAGCGTACGGGTCAGAAATATAAACTCTCAGATATCGCTGAAATTATTTAAATATAGACCATATGGCCATGCAAAGGAAAAACAGAATTCATGAAAACTGAGTTTTCAGAATATTTAGGGTAAAACTGGTCAAGAAACATGACGCATTTACATACTTATAGCTAACTAGTTCAGGACAGGAGTGGTGGCCCACGCCTTTTATCCCAGCACGATGGAGAGGCCAGAAGCAGGCAGATCTCTGTGAGTTCAAAGCCAGCCTGGTCTACATAGCAAGTTTCAGAACAGTCAAGGGTAGGGACCTTATCTTAAAAAACAAAAGTCAAACACACAAAAACCCTATGTCAAAGTACTGGGACTGTAGCTTAGTGGTAGAATACTTGCTTAGCATGCCAAGGCCTTATGCTCGATTCCCAGATTGCAAATTAATAAAGAAACATAATTAAAAATCTTGGGCTGGTGCTGGGCGGTGGTGGCACATGCCTTTAATCCCAGCACTCAGGAGGCAGAGGCAGGCGGATCTCTGTGAGTTCAAGGTCAGCCTGGTCTACAGAGTGAGTTCCAGGACAGCCTCCAAAGCAATGCAGAGAAACCCTGACTCGGAAAACCAAAAAAAAAAAAAAAAAAAAAAAAAAAAAAAGCAGACACATTCCCTAGGAGAGTGTGAGGAGACAAACCCAACATTCAGGAACAGAGCCAAGGACAGGAAACCAGTGACATTTCTTTTTTGTTGTGTGTGTGCATCCATGTAGGAATACACGCTTGCATGCATACGAAGACAGAGACAGGTGGATGGATCTCTGTGAGTTCAAGGCCAGCCTGATCTAGAGAGTGAGTTCCAAGACAGCCAGGGCTACACAGGGAAACCCATTTAAGGCTGGAGAGATGGCTCAGTGGTTAAAAGCACTGACTGCTCTTCCGGAGTACCTGGGTTCAATTCCTAGAACTCACTTGTCTGTAACTCTGGTTGCAGGAGATCGGGCACCCTCACACAGACATACATGCAGGCAAAAACACTAGTAACAATAAAATAAGAAGTAAAGCGTGAGTTCCAGGACAGTCAGGATTGTTACACAGAGAATCCATGTCTGGAAGAAATGAAAAAGAAAAAAAAGGAATAAATAAATCAAACCTTTAAAAAATATTTTTGAGGAACCAACGCCACTATAACGAAGGCAGCTTTGGTGCGTAAGGATCTGAGGCAAACAGAATCTCCCGGGTAGGACGTCGTAAAGGAGGAAGCTGGTACTTACCAACTGGATAATGAGGCAGGATGCTTCCAACTGGTTGGCCACTGGGAGCAACGCCATCCCGAGGTCGAGCACAGTAAACTTCTGGACTGCCGGAAAGTACTGTTCACTTATCTGGGTTTTTTCAACTATTACGATCCCTTGAAGATGTCCAGACTTCGAAAGAAAAGACAGTAAACGAATTCGCAACACGATTCCTTGCAAAGGTCGGAAGCTTGTCGCTTAGCGCTTGGGACGGTTGAGACGAAAGGAGATGTGGGATCTCAGAGCCTCTGACCCAGTACTCACATTTCTAACACGAACAAGCCTCTTTCTGTAGCCGTGTCCGGCCACCAAATCCGCTTCCGTGATATAGAGAATGCAAGACCTGCTGGACAGGTAAAAGTCTGCCAGTGCCAGACCCTCCTCAAACATGAGCTTAACTTTCCCTTAAAATACACACACAAGAAAAAAAAATGAGTTTTTAGAAATTCCAGATAAGAAGGCAGCAACAGTTAAAATGTGTCTTTAGTCTGCATGAAGGTTCATCTTTTAAAATATTTCTGTTTGTGTGTATGTGCACAACCCTGACCATCTAGAACAGGGCTGTAACAGCTCTGGAGAGGACTTATAGGTGGTCATGAGCAGCCCAATGGATGGAGCCATCTCTAGGCTCCCCTTTCTTTTTTTTAATTAATTATTTTATTAATTATGTATACAGTGTTCTGTCTGCAAGTATGCCTGCAGGCCAGCAGAGGGCACCAGATCTCATTACAGATGACTGTGAACCACCATGTGGGTGCTGGGAATTGAACTCAGGACCTCTGGAAGAGCAGCCAGTGCTCTTGACCTCTGAGCCATCTCTCCACCCCTAGGCCTCCCCTTTCTAATTTAAAAACTCATCCGTGTGTTTTACTTGCATACACGTCTGTGCACGTGTGCCGGTCTAGTGCCCAGAAGTTCAGAAGAGGGAGGAGCCTCTCTCCCCCCCCCCCAGTCACCAGGTGGGTGCTGGGAATTGAACCAAAGTCCTCTGCAACGGCCTGGGTCAGTCCTCTCGATTTCTTCACTCTCTTTACTTTTATTTTATTCCATGAGGCAGGCTCTCGTAGCCCTGTCGGGCCTTGGGGTTGCTACGCAGCCTGCCTCCTGCCTTAGTCTCCGGAATGCCGGGCACAAACAGAGGAGTGACAGCCCTGCCTGGCACCCCTTTGACGAGATGGGAAGAAAGGAGAGTGACGGGGGAGGGGGGCTGGGGTGGGGGAGCCCTCCCGGCTCACCTTGCATCTCCTGAGCCAGCTGGGACCCCCGCCACCTCTCACGAGCCACAATGTGCCCCAGCGGCACGTGCACCGGGCCTGCGCCGCCAGGGGGGGTCCTCTCCATCCGCGGGCTGGGTCTAGCGGGGGGGGATGCTAGGCAGAACAGCCTGCCTGTTCCGCACACTGTAGGGAAAAGGGACCAGTCAAAGAAACACACCCTGAGCAGAGCCAAAGAAACACACTTTGGCCCAGCAACCAGAACCAAAGAAATGTACCCTGACCCTGCAACCAGTGCCAAAGGAACACACTTTGTTCCTGGAATCAGAGTCAGTGAAAGAAATGCACCCTGGCCCTAAAACTAGAGCCAAAAGGCTAAAAATAACCAGAGAAAGAAACATACCTTGGCTCTGAAACCAGAGCCAAATCTGACCCTAACCCTGTGCAGAAAACTAACCAATCCCTGAGCAGAGCTCTAACCAATCTGAGCTCAGCACTAAAATCTGACCAATCCCTACCCTGGAAGCCCTATATAAACCCTGTGTCTGTTCAGCTTGTGTTCTCCTGGATTCTTCCTTCCAATAAACCCCTTCAATGAGCTTTGGGTGAAGATCTTTAGCGGTGAAGAGCAGAGTGAGCAGGGATGTAACATTTGCCCGGGAAACTTTCCCTTGGCAGAGTGGAGTTGTTACACTCTGCTCCCGCTCTGCTCTCTGCTCTCCAGGAGCAGAGCTGAACTGTAGCAACTTCTCCGGAGAAAACTCCTGCCTGCCGAGCAAATATGCCCAGCTGGAAGACCCTGTCCTGCCGGAGCAGAGCCCATATACTGGGGAAGCCTTTCCCTGAGGCTGGGCTGTAAGCAGCTAAGTTTACTGCAACCTGTGGTAGTCCTAGGCTCCCGAGCTCCAGGATACCTTTCTACCTGAGCTGTGTAACACTCAGTATCCTTGGCTCCCGAGCTCCAGGATACCTTTCCACCTGAGCTGTGTAACACTCAGTATCCTGTGACTCCCAAGCTCCAGGACCTTTCCACCTGAGCTGTGTAACACTCAGTATTCTGTGACTCCCGAGCTCCAGGATGCCTTTCCATCTGAGCCGTGTACCACTCAGTATCCTGTGACTCCCGAGCTCCAGGATAGCTTTCCACCTGAGCTGTGTAACACTCAGTATCCCTGTCTCCCGAGCTCCAGGATACCTTTCCATCTGAGCTGTGTAACACTCAGTATTCTGTGACTCCCGAGCTCCAGGATGCCTTTCCATCTGAGCCGTGTACCACTCAGTATCCTGTGACTCCCGAGCTCCAGGATAGCTTTCCACCTGAGCTGTGTAACACTCAGTATCCCTGTCTCCCGAGCTCCAGGATACCTTTCCATCTGAGCTGTGTAACACTCAGTATTCTGTGACTCCCGAGCTCCAGGATACCTGACCTATTCCTGTTCCATCCCCATCCAGCCCCAAATGCTTACAATCCTAGAGTTCAGGAGAAACAAAACTATTAAAATACTAATTTAATAAAAAAGGAGATAAGCCAGGGTCTTATTTACGAAGAAGCTTGGCTCTAGACCGCCAGTTGGCTGCTAGGCTCAGGCTGGACCCGAATTCGCCCCTTCCCCAAGGGCTGGAGGGATGACAGCCGGGAGGAAACCAAGAGAACCCGGGACTTACTCACCCCGTCCCTCTTCTCTAAGCGCCTTCCCGAGCCGTGGCGTCCTTCCAGGGGCGCTCAGGGTGGCTCCTCCGTCCAGTCCCCTGTCCAGGGGTAGAAGCAGCCGGGGAGCTCACGGTCCCGGGACCTAGAACGTGCGCGGGCGTCGCCTGAAGCCAGGCCACTTCCGGGTTCCACCCACCTGCACCTCCAGCCAGGCCCCGCCCACAGCCTGGGCCCGCCCCCCGTTTTTAAAACATTTTTCCCTCCCTTCTCGGCATCGGATTGGCTGATGCGAGCGTGACGGACATCCCGCTGTAGCCAGTAAGAGGACGGAACGCTCCACCGCCTGCCTTCTCATTGGCTGGACTTTGAAGGGGGTTGCCAGGAGCAACGGGGCGGCAGTAACCTCAGGGAACGGAAGGCTCAGCTTGCTTCGCCCTCCCCCTCAGGCACCGGATTGGCGGATGCGTGCGAGACGGACGTCCGCTGTAGCCAGTAAGAGGACGGAGGACGCCGCCGCCTGCCTTCTCATTGGCTGGAGTTCGAAGGACGCCTCGCAGCGGTTGCCAGGAGCAACGGGGTGGCAGTGCCCTCCGCCGTGATTGGGCCGAGGCTCGAAGCGGAGCCAACGGGAGGCGCGCTCGGGGTGGGTCCCCGGGAGCTGCCCGGAGCCCGTCCAGCGCCGGGCGCCGAAGCCCGCATCCCGCATCCCGCATCCCGCGTCCCGCATCCCGCGTTCCCCCACGGCCGCCGGGATGCTCCTCAGCTTCCGCAGGAGCCGCCGCCGCCGTCAGTTCGTGAGTGACGCCGGGGGCGGGGGGGTCCTGCCCGCGATCATTCAGCTCCGGAAGCCCCCCACCCACGACTTCGCGTTCCAAAGAATCCCTTCCTCCCCGGGAGCGGCCACGGACAGGAATCCCCGGTGCCCTCGGCCGGAAGTTCCCCCTGTCTTACTTCCCGCGGCCGGATGTCCCCCCGCGGGGAAGTCCTTCTTGCGCACCCTTCCTCCTCCCCGCACCCCGGCGCCACGCACTCGCCCTTAGCCGGTCCTTGGCGCCCTCCCGCCCCGACCTCGGCCTCTGCCTCCCCGGATGGCTTCCGCAGCCGGCGCCTTCCTGCGTTCTGCCTTTCTTCACCTCCTCTTCCCCCACCCCCCGAGGTTCCCGTCTGCAGAGCAAGGGGCTTCTTTAAAAGGGGACTTAAAAATAAACAAAAACAAAAACCGCGGGGGTCTGATCGCGCCACGGCTCTCAGCAGACCCCGCTGCCTGCCCTCCCTCTGCACACTCTCTCGCCAGACACGTTGGCGTTTACTGTTCCTTCCAGATCTTTTCTTTTTCTTTTCTAATCTCAGTTTTTACTTATTGTGTATACATTGTTCCTGCCTGCACGCCAGGAGAGGGCGCCAGATCTCATGACAGATGGTTGTGAGCCACCATGTGGGTGCTGGGAATTGGAACTCAGGACCTCTGGGAGAACAGTCAGTGCTCTTAATCCCTGAGCCCCTCTCCAGCCCCTCTCCCTCCAGATCTTAAGGTCCCTGCGCCACCCTGTGCCGCGTATTATTGTCTTCCCAGGGTCATTTCTCCGACCCCTCGCTGTTTTATATTTCTACCTTGGTTTTGGTTTTGAAACAGGGTCCTTTAACTCCCCACAGCCCTCCTGCCTCTCTGTCCCCCGAGTGCTGAGATTACAATTTTTACCCCTTCGTACTTGGCTTCTTACACATGTTTCCCTAGGATCTCGACATCCCCAGCAATCCACAGACTCACCCTTTCCCCCCACTGTATCTGTTAGTCGGGCCAACTTGATTTTGTGGTGCTAGGGATCCATTTCAGGGCCCTTTGGGCCGGGAATAGTATAGCACACACCTCTAATCCCAGCACTCGGGAGGCAGGGGCAGGCGCACCTCTGTGAGTTCACGGCCAGCCTGGTCTACAGAGTGAGTTCCAGACTAGTCAAAGCTACGTGAGACCCTGTCTCCAGGGAGAGGGGAAAAAGCAATTATTCCAGACGCTTTGGGGACACTAGGCAAACATTCTGTCACTGAGCTCTAATACTCAGTGATTTAAAAAAAAAAGATTCATTTTTAATTATGTGTAAGTGTCTTAAGTGTGAGTTTGTGCACTTCAGTGCAAGTGCCTGTGGAAGCTGGAGGCATTGGATTCCCTGGAGCTGCAGTTACAGGCAGTTGTGAGTCATCCTATATTGGTGCTGGGAACGGGACTGGTCCTCTTAACCACTGGGCCATTTCTCAGCCCCCAGAAATAACCTTAAACGACCCATCCATCCCTTCTGTCCTCTCTTCTTGGGGTAAGTCACCTGCCACTAGTGTTTGGCCAGTCTCTTGTTCATGGTGTCCCTTTTCCGACATAGAGACAGAGATGCCCTATTCTTAATGCCCCTGTGACACCCCCGCCCCCAGGGAAACACTTGAAGGGTTGAAGAGACAGTTCAGTGGTTAACAGCACTTGTTGCTTTTGCGGAGGACTTGGATTCAGCTTCCGGCCCCCATATGGTGGCTAACAATCATCCAAAATGCCATTTCTAGGGGATCTGATGTCCTCTTCTGACCTCCACAGGCCAGACGCGCGTGGGGTGTGCCTACATATATGCAGAGAAAACATTCTTGCACATAAAATAAATAAATCTTAAAAAGAGAGAGGCAACAAAACAAAAACCCCAAAGGCTCGAGCCTTCCCCTCGAGCCTTCTGATTTCCCTTGTACCCCGTTATTTCCCTTGTCCCCCGCCATTTCTCGTAATTCTGTGTTCTCAACAACTGCGCGGGTGTTTTTCCACTCCGTGCCCCCAAGGATGAAGACAGAGCATCTACATTGCCATGGCAGCCCGCCTCTAGTAGGTATGAGTGGCTGGTGCTCTCGAAGATTAGACAGGGCTCAGGAACTTGAAAGACACCCCCCCACCCCCAGTTACCTAAAGAAGAGTGGGGTTCGCTCTGAATTTCACTGTATGTGGGTGGGGCTGGCTTTCCTCACTGTACCTCTTTGAGCTAAGCCGCCCGGAGTCGAGCGCCCATCAGACACAAGTCGGTGCGCTGAGCTCCAGAGTTGGTAAAGATAAGAGAGGCACCTGTTTGCTCGGGCGTGGGAAGCCCGGGTGACTTCACTGGGGACGGTGCTGTGTGCCAGAAGCCCGGAAGGTGACTGTCAGTGTCCTCACGGCTTTTCTTATTGGCTGTGACCCGACGAGAAGTGACTTGTGGGGGTAGAGGTTTACTTTGGCTCCTGGTTTTATACCATCCATCATAACGGGGGGGGAGTTGTGGCAGTGGGCGGCGCCATGGTGGCGGGAGCGCGCAGTGGACGCGCACTCACATCTCGGCAGACCAGGAAGCAAAGAAAAAGGAGTGTTCCTGCCAGTGCTCCTCCTCCTTCGGGCTGAGCCCCACGTCCTACCAGCTTGTTCTCCTCCTATTAGAGTAGGTTATCCCAGCTCTGTTAACCCTCTCTGGAAAACAGAGACACCCGAAGGTGTGCCTCGTCACGCACCAGGTGTCGGTTAGCCCAGCTGTGAGGAGGACAGGGCAGAGTGATGGCGTGCCCTGCTGAGCCGGGAGTTGGGAACAACTTGGGGACGAGAGGGACTCTTGGCAGGACCGGATCCCTGATGTGGCCTCAGGCTAGGAGGTGATGGTGGGACAGGACCCAGGTGATTTCCTGCTCCCAGTGACCTGCCTTGGGTTTTGTTGGTGCAGAATAATATCATCCATGGCTTCCTGCCAGCCGCCAGCATCGCTCCGAAGCCAGCTGTGCCGCGTACGCCTCCTCCCCGAAGCCCCAACCCATCTCCAGAGAGACCCAGGTAGGTCTCAAGCTCAGCAGCACTGAGCTCGGGTCACTGCTATGCTTGACCATCAAGTACTGAACCCTGGCCCAGGAGGTCACAAGCAGAAGCCTCTGCAGTATCTACCACCGTCCTGTGATACACTTCACCCGGCTTCTCCGAGGAATGAGGGGCTTACGTGGGATCTGTCTCCTTCAATGCGGGATCTCAGATGTCATGGCTGGATGCCATTGGTGCCTATTAAATAGAAAGCACCGAGTTTAAGTTCATCTCTTCCAGGAGCTGGGGTTCCTCACCCCTGTGCTCTGTGAAACGGAGAGCTGCCTCCCTTTCTATTCCTGGGACTACCGCCTATATCTGCCAAGCTTTCACACACTAGAAAACTTTAGACGTGTTTTGTTTGTTTTTATAGGGTCTTACTTTGTAGCCCAGACTGGTCTTGTATTCGAAGCAGTCCTCTTGCCTCAGCCTCCTAAGAGCTAAGTTTTTAAGTGTGAGCTACCACGCCTAGCTAGTCTGATATTTTTTTATTGTTGCTGTTCTTTAAATTTTTAATTTTAAATTATGTGTGTACGCCTGTGCCTGTGTGTGTATGTGTGAGCACTTGGATGCGGGAACTCTTGGAATCCAGAAGAGGACATTGGGTCCCCTGGAGCTGGTGTTACAGGTGGTTGTGAACCACCTAATATGGGTGCCGGGAACCAAACTCAGATCCTCTGCAAGAGCAGTGTGTGCCTTTAACCACTGAGCCATCTCTGCAGTCCACAGCTAGTCTGCTTTCAATCCATAAGATACGTTTATTTGGTTATTAGCAGTTAGTAGGAACTAATTCCACTCCACTTGCTCTGTTTTTTTTTTAATTAAAGATTTATTTATTTATTATGAATACAACATACTGCCTCCATGTATGTCTGCGAATACCAGAAGAGGGCGCCAGATCTCATTCAAGGTGGTTGTGAGCCACCATGTGGTTGCTGGGAATTGAACTCAGGACCTCTGGAAGAGCAGTCAGTGCTCTTAACCCCTGAGCCATCTCTCCAGCCCCCACTTGCTCTGTTCTAGTTGGTCTTCTTTGGTACTGGCATATTCCGTGCATTCGAATAGAACATAAACTCTGAACGGCTGCGGACGAGGCTTGGTGACTGAGCCTTTGCCCAGCACACATGAGCTAACTCCTGGATTCCATCCCTAACAGTGGAGTAGGAAAAACCTCTGTGGTGTTCTAGTGTGTACATCTGTGTCAGGGTGTTGAATCCTCTGAAACTGGGGTACAGACAGTTGTGAGCCACCATGTGGGTGCTGGGAATTGAACCCAGACCCTCCGGAAGAGCAGCCAGTGCTCTCAACTTCTGAGCCATCTCTCCAGCCTCTTAAAAACTGTTTCGTTTTTGAAGCGATTGCCCAACGGTTTCCCACGGTTGTGTTTGCGTTCCCGGTGCTTGTGAATGCCGGTTACGTCACACCGTCACCAGCGTCTGCTCGTGAGTGTGGATCCCGACAGTGCAGGTCGATTGGTTTTCATACACTCTGACTCTCCGAAGGTTTTGAAGGCAGTGAACATCCACAAGTAGCTGACGTGTAGAGCCTGTTGGGCGACTCATCTCTGGCACACTTTCTCGGCAGTTCTGAATAGGTAGGGCAGGCTAGCCCTTTTCTTTTAGCCTTGTGGTGCGTTTCTGGTCTCTGTAAAGACGGTTTCGGGGCGTGCTTGTTAGTATCGTTGCTGTCCCCTCTTTTGTGGACGGCAGAACGGCCGGCCCTGCTTGCCATTGTTTGTCGTGGGAGCCGTTGTACTAGGTCTGTGTGAGGGATTGTCTTGAGTGGATTTTAATTCCTGGGCGTTCACTGAGTGTGGTTCTGAGGTTATGGGGAAAAGCCACTCGGCTCCTCCTGCGTTCTCACCCAACAATAATGAACACATCACTCTGGACTTTTTCCCTCCAGAAAGTAGGCGGTAACTCTTCAGTGGGCAACGCCTGGGCCGCCTCTAATCCAGTCAAGCTCTGCCCACCTAAAGACTTGTGTCAGATTCCTCCCACCGAAGGCTCAGCCCCCACTTCAGATACCAGTCTTCAGCCCAGGTGGTTTTGCCCATATTCTAACCTAAACATATGCTGGTGCACTCTGAACCCTGTGTTTATGTTGGATTTGACAGAGACGCTCACAGAACCTAGGGAAAACTCAGGCCTTGGAATACAGCCCTTGGAATAAGAGTTTGTCCTGAGCTAGATGAGTGGCCCTGGCCTGGGGACAGGATCCAGGTTCTGAGCTAGCTATGAGTTGATTGTGGCGTTGAAATGTGGATTCTGGTTGCCTTGAGTGGCATGCTTCGGTGTGGAAGAGGCTAACTAACTTCTGTAAGTCAGAGGGCAAAAGGGAGCCGTGGACCAATTCATTTACCAGATACAGTGGCAGAGGCACGGGAGGCGGGTACTGCCGGGCGTGGATGGTCCGTAGGTTTGGGATGGCGGCTCGCAGCTTTCTTAGGGTTTGTGGAAGCAGCTGGTCTTTCAAGTTCAACAGTGTGTTCCAAGAGTTTTACCCAAGACACGAGGAGGTTAGGTCAGATGAGAGGCCTGCAGTAAACGTCGTGAGGTGGTCTCAGCTTTTGATGCCACAGTGATCCGCCTGTCAGGTCACGCAGTTCCCTGTCAGCCTGCCGGTGTTCCACACCGCTGCGGCTTCTTCGGAGGCCTGGAGTTTGCATGTGTCTATTGGTGATAGTGAAGGTTGCTTACTCTGCCCTGAGGTAGCCCAGACTGGCCCCCACTCTTGCTCCTCCTCTCTCACGTCTCCCGAGAGCTGAGATGACAGGTGTGTGTCACATGCCTTGCTTTGTGAAATGATCCACAGGGTGAGGTGTGGAAGGGTCCCAGGCACAGGTGTTCCCGCCTCTGTGCGGTTGAGATGTGCTGTCCAGCGCCTCGAGGTGACCTCCACCTTCCCGGAAGTCCCCACGGAGTCCACTGTCTGCAGGCTCCCCACGCCACTCGCTTCTGGGGAAATGAGTGTTGGTGGTGGAAGCCAGCACCCCTCACACGCTGGTCTGTGTGTATGGAAGTTTCGTTGCGTAGGGTAGGTGCAGCCGATGCAATGATTGACGCTGGCCGTCACCTCCAGCAGCCCTGCTACCCCCGCCCCAGGGTTAGGGGGTGGGACAGAAAGTTCTCTCCCTTTGGGCGCCTGGCTGGTTCTCCTGGCAGCCAGCTCCCTACCTGTGGTTATCTAGGGACTTACACAACTCTCCTCCTTGTTCTAAGCTCAGGTGTGTTTGAAAAGGCTATCTGTAAATAATAAAAGGCTGCCTTTACCTCGGCTCTCTGGAGCTGCTTCAAGATCCAGGGCAGAAGACAGTACTTAAGACATCCTTGGCTAAGAGAAAGGGTTGGGATCTGTGAGCCAGGGCAGACTGAAAAATAGGGGTGGGTGACACAGATACTCTCAGGATTGTGGTGACACAGGCTCTCAGGATTGTGGTGACACAGAGGCTCTCAGGATTGTGGTGACATAGACTCTCAGGATTGTGGTGATACAGAGGCTGTCAGGATTGTGGTGACACAGAGGCTCTCAGGATTGTGGTGACACAGAGGCTCTCAGGATTGTGGTGACACAGAGGCTCTCAGGATTGTGGTGACACAGAGGCTCTCCATTGTGGTGACACAGAGGCTCTCAGGATTGTGGTGACACAGAGGCTCTCAGGATTGTGGTGATACAGAGGCTCTCAGGATTGTGGTGACACAGAGGCTGTCAGGATTGTGGTGACACAGAGGCTGTCAGGATTGTGGTGACACAGAGGCTCTCCATTGTGGTGACACAGAGGCTCTCAGGATTGTGGTGACACAGAGGCTCTCAGGATTGTGGTGACACAGAGGCTCTCAGGATTGTGGTGACACAGAGGCTCTCAGGATTGTGGTGACACAGAGGCTCTCAGGATTGTGGTGACACAGAGGCTCTCAGGATTGTGGTGACACAGAGGCTCTCAGGATTGTGGTGACACAGAGGCTGTCAGGATTGTGGTGACACAGAGGCTCTCAGGATTGTGGTGACATAGACTCTCAGGATTGTGGTGACACAGAGGCTCTCCATTGTGGTGACACAGAGGCTCTCAGGATTGTGGTGACACAGAGGCTCTCAGGATTGTGGTGACACAGAGGCTCTCAGGATTGTGGTGACATAGACTCTCAGGATTGTGGTGACACAGCAGCTCTAGGGGATGCTGGAATTCTTTGCTTAGTTTTGGATTTGTTTTTGGTGTGTGCATGTGTGCTGGTTGTGGTTTATACACATATGAGCCTGCAGTTTGTCCAGCGCGGTCTTCCTCTGTTCTCCGTCTTACTGATCTGAGACAGGTCTCTCACGGAATGAGAAGCTCACCTTTCTGCCTAGGCTGACTGGCCAGCTAGCGTTGGAAATACAGACATATGTTTTAATTGATGGGGCTTTTCATCATTACATTGTGTGTGTGTGTGTTTATATATATATATTTAAAGTCAGGATCTCACTTGTAGCCCAGGCAAGATGTGTGCCATTATACCCGGCATAAATCTTCTTATGTCATTCTTTTATTTCATTCAAGTCTTTCGTTTTGAAAAGAAAACTCTCTGAATATTGGCTTTGCCTGTCTGACTGTGTGGATCGACAACCTGGTGTTGCCGCATCTTACTGATAAAGTCTCTACAAGCCATTTAATCGCTCTAAGAATGGACTGCGTATGTTTGACTCTATCAGTCACGTGAGAATTAAATGTCAGCGGCCACTCAGCAGCTGCAGTGGGCAAAGGTTAACCTTGTCGGTTCAGCGCCGGCTTGACCGTCCGTCACTCAGTGCCGCTGTGGATGTTTCTGCTCGTAGGTCCGCTCTGGCCGCGGTCATCCTGGCAACCACGCTGACTGGGCAGACAGTCGCCATTCCCCAGCCCCGCCCGAGATCCCGGTCCGAGAGTGACGCCTCCTACGTTGAGAAGGACAGCTTCATCGAGCCCTATGCCACCACCTCAGAGCTGAGGCTGCGGTAGGGACATATCACAGCCGTGGGGTAGAGAGCAGCCCAGCGAGGCCACTCTGGAAGGGACGTTCCTTGTTCTTTTGTTTTATGTTTTGAGACAGGGTCTTCCTGTACAGACAGATGGCCTCCGCCTGTATTGTGTCTCAAGCTTTAGCTTAGCGGGCAGCTAGCACTACAGCAGTGCTCCATGGGATTTTACACTTCAGTCCTGACTGTAGCCGTCACAGTGGCCATACTGCTGTACGAGTTGGGGCAGGAGGATCATTTGAACCTGGGAGTTGAGGCCTGACCTGGACGGCATAGCTGGACCAGTATCAAGATGAAATCGTGACTCCATTTTGAATATAGCTAGTTTTTCTTCTAAGACTTACACTTTGGCCGAATTGAACTAAAAACGTGGAAGCAACCATAAAGTTCACTGGAAAGAGAAAGGATATAAAATTGTCAAAGGAAGAATACAAAAATGCTAGTCTAGGTGAGGGCTGGGCTAGCCCTGACTTTATTTTTTTTATTTTTCTTTTATTTTTGGTTTTTCAAGACAGGGTTTCTCTGATGCACATGCTTGTATGCACACACACAATAATCTTCTTAAAATACTAATAGCAGAATGAGCTGTATATGTATACCGTCTGAAAAACAAGTATAAAGAAATACTTAATATCTGGGCAGTGGTGGTGCATGACTTTTAACACAGCACTCAGGAGACAGAGGCAGTCGGATCTCTGAGTTAAAGGCCAGCCTGGTCTACAGAGTGGATTCCAGGACAGAGAAACCCTGTCTTGAAAACCAAACGAGAGAGAGAGAGAGAGAGAGAGAGAGAGAGAGAGAGAGAGAGAGAGAGACTGTCATCATTGAGCTTTTCATGTATTTTACAGCTAAAGTACTTCTTTGGCATGGACTTGAAGACAGTGCATTTAAGATGTGTGTAATAGCTTGGTGGGATGATGTCTGCCAGTAATATCCCAGCACTTGGGAGGCTGAGGCAGGAGGATTAGGGGTTTAGGCCCGCCTGGGTTGTGTAGTGAGATCTTGTCTCACAATGAATGAATGAATGAATGAATGAATAAGAAATGAGTTTCAGCATCAGCGTCAGGTGCTAAACTGCTTGTTTGCTTATGTGTTTGTTAATGACCTAACACAGGCAGAGTTGGCAGAATGAGCCAAAAAGAGCTTCCTTCGTGCCCTTTGAGACTGTAGGCTGCGTGGAGGTCGGGCATGCTGGGACACAGGAGCTGACCAGCTCCAGACAGTCAGAGTGCCACTCCTGGAAGGATTTGGGAGATGCCAGAGATGCCTATGCCCTGCCGCACAGGAATCAGGTGACGTCACGTTCCTCAGCTGCCTCCCGCATGTTTCCCAGGGAAAATTGCCCAGAACAGTTGAGAATGCTGTGTGCTGTTTTCTGTCTCGTCCTAAGTGTTCAGTCTGTGTCTCTCTGGGTGGAGTCAAATGTCTCTGGGATTCTTTTTTGCTGTGTATCTGTGTGTGGTGTGTGCATGCGTGTATGCATATGTAATGTGCTTGTGTGTGAGGTGTGTGTGTGTATAATGTGCTTGTGTGTGTGGTGTGTGTGTGTATAATGTGCTTGTGTGTGAGATGTGTGTGTGTGTATAATGTGCTTGTGTGTGAGGTGTGTGTGTGTATAATGTGCTTGTGTGTGAGGTGTGTGTGTGTATAATGTGCTTGTGTGTGAGATGTGTGTGTGTGTGTATAATGTGCTTGTGTGTGAGGTGTGTGTGTGTATAATGTGCTTATGTGTGTGGTGTGTGTGTGTATAATGTGCTTGTGTGTGAGGTGTGTGTGTGTATAATATGCTTGTGTGTGTGGTGTGTGTGTGTATAATGTGCTTATGTGTGTGGTGTGTGTGTGTGTATAATGTGCTTGTGTGTGAGGTGTGTGTGTGTGTATAATGTGCTTGTGTGTGAGGTGTGTGTGTATAATGTGCTTGTGTGTGTGGTGTGTGTGTGTATAATGTGCTTGTGTGTGAGATGTGTGTGTGTGTGTATAATGTGCTTATGTGTGTGGTGTGTGTGTGTGTGTATAATGTGCTTGTGTGTGAGATGTGTGTGTGTGTATAATGTGCTTATGTGTGTGGTGTGTGTGTGTGTGTATAATGTGCTTGTGTGTGTGATGCGCTGCATATACATGTGTTATGCTTGCATGTGTGCACTTTTGTTGTTTATTTGTTTTATTGGGTTACTGGTTTTTTTGTTTTGTTTTGTTTTTTTGTTTTTAGATTGACTCTAGCTATGTAGCCTTGGCTATCATGAAACTTACTCTGTAGACCAGGCCGGCCTCAAACTCACAGAGATCCGCCTGCCTCAGCCTCCCGAGTGCTGGGATTAAAGGTGTGCACCACCGCCTGGCTTTAAAATGTATTATTACGTGCATATATGTGTGCCTGTGTAATGCGTGTGTGTGTGTGTGTATGTGCGTCTGTGTGTGTGTGTATAATGTGCTTGTGTGTGTAAGTGTGTGTGTATCTGTGTGTGTGTGTGTAAGTGTGTAAGCCAGACCCCTGTTTAGTCAGTTCTGCTTCGACCATTAAGGGTGTCACAGGGGTTGAGCTTGGGTACCAGGCTTGCAGCAAACTCTTTTACCCAGCAGGCCATTTTCCGGTCTTCCCCCAACCTACCTTGCCGTCATCCATTGCTTTTTCTTCTTTTAAGGGGTTCGTATTATGATTTATGTTACATTTTCTTTCTTTTTTAATAAAAGATTTGCTTACTTCCACTCTCTGTGTGTGGTGTTTTAACTGCGTATATGTCTGCACCATACACAGGCGGTGCCTATTAAGTAGAGTTCTTTGGGTCCCCCGAAACTGGGGTTACAGATGGCTGTGAGCCCCCCTGTGGATGCTGAGAATCAAATCCCGGTCCTCAGGAGGAGCAGCCAGCGCTGTCAACTGCTGAGCCAGCTCTCCAGCCCCTCGCTCCATTTTTCAATCTCAGCCTTTCCCTCTCTCTGTCCAGATGTGGCTCCAGTCCTTGTGTGGGTGGTCCCCTGTCACCGTCACGTAACTTTCCCTAAGCAGCCACGCCTTCCTCGTCCACGTTGCTGCTGGTGGTTTGCGCTTTTGTCCCTTAAGAAGAGGGCTGCAGGTAGCTCTCACAGACTTCTGCTGCGCATGTGCGTGTGCACTCTGCAGGGTGTGAGTCCTTCTTGTCACACATAGATCCTGCTCCGGTGCTGGGTGTGGTGGCACCGGGTGCTGCCCCGAGCTGGTCCCGGCAGGGGTGTGGGAGGGACGCCATCCGGGAAGTGCAGGATCTGAAGCCCACCACAGCCGTCCATGCCACCAGCTCTTTGCCATGCTTTTCACAGGGGTCTGGTTTCTTCCTGCCCTGGCGTGTGTGTGGCAGGCAACCCTGGGGTGGCAGCCGTGAGGGTGGTAATGTTCGCATCTGACGGGCCATGCGCTGTTCCTCTCCTCTCATAACCAAAAGGTACCGTCGTTGTTGTCATCACAAAAGATGGTGAGAGGTGACACTTCTGAGCAAGATGGCTTTGCAGACTCCTTCTTCTTCTCCTCCTCCTCCTCCTCGCAGCGTCCTCAACGCAGAGGTAAGGAAGGAAGGAAGCGGGGGGGGAGCAGTTTTGGTTGCCGCTCCTGGTGTCATTCACCGCTGCACTGTGGCTCTGTGGTCCTCACCACTTGCAGTTCCTCCTCGCCCCGAATGAGGGACCACCCGGGTGTGAGGGTGCCTTGACCGTATTAGATGCTCCCTCAGAGCCCTCGTCTGCTCTGTCTGGGGCAGAGGACTCCCAGCTCAGGCCGTCGCTGTGTAGATGTGACGTTCCCTCTGCCCCTTGTCACCGTGCTAGCTGCAGGGCCTGGCCCACAGCGATGGGCTTGCAGGACGCATGAACGTATATTCTGGAAATGCACATCCACCTTTTGATATATTTTATTTGGCACAGTGAGAGTTCAGCCCGTTATGGCAACGATAAGCAATTTTGATGTCCCCGAGGGGACAGGGAGACAGAGCAGGGGTGGCTATGGAGCCAAAAGATCAGGAGAGACTGTGAACTGGACACATTAGGCAACAGTGTAGAAATGGTACTGTGTTGCCAGCATCAGTGGAGACAGTTATCAGGGAGTGGATGGGAGCAGGTGAACACGACAGTCTGCGCTATAGTAACGTCATCAGGGACACGACAGTGCGCTATAGTAATGTCATCAGGACACGACAGTCTGCGCTACAGTAACGTCATCAGGGACACGACAGTGCGCTACAGTAACGTCATCAGGACATGACAGTCTGCGCTACAGTAACGTCATCAGGGACACGACAGTGCGCTACAGTAACGTCATCAGGACATGACAGTCTGCGCTACAGTAACGTCATCAGGGACACGACAGTCTGCGCTATAGTAACGTCATCAGGGACACGACAGTCTGCGCTATAGTAACGTCATCAGGGACACGACAGTCTGCGCTACAGTAACGTCATCAGGGACAGAACAGTCTGCGCTATAGTAACGTCATCAGGGACACGACAGTCTGCGCTATAGTAACGTCATCAGGGACACGACAGTCTGCGCTATAGTAACGTCATCAGGGACACGACAGTCTGCGCTACAGTAACCTAAGACACATCACAGTTATACAACTTAGTCCAGTCTCTTGTCACCTGAAGGACAGAGCTGAGAACCTAAGCTCTAGAAGCCAGAGGCCTCATCTGTCCTGTGTCCACCCCACCTTGGCTTCCCAGGGAGTCTGCCACAAACACAGACCTCTGGGTCCCACTCTCTGAATCTGGGTTATGGGGACCTTGTTCTATGCCTGGGGACAAGGTGAGTCTCTGGGTTTATGAGTCTACTCTTCTGGTATGTCAAATGTCTTATGCTTTTAAAACTTTTTCTTTTTAAACCAGATGGTAAATACTCTGTTCTGAATCTAGAGGTAAGCTTATTTTCAAGAATTCCTATTTTCAAAAAATTAGACTTTGCACTATGGTTTGTCCGTCCTCCCTCCCTCCCTCCCTCCCTTCCTTCCTCTCTTTTTTTTAAACCATGTGACTCCTGTCTCTGATTCTGTACTGTGATTCCATTTCCTGATTTGTACATGTTCAATTTCCCTTGTGTCCTTGGATAGAAGCCCACTTAACACTGATGTATGATCTTTTGTTTCAACATCATAACACACCTGTGTGAAAAGCTCTTACTAGAAGCCTTTCCTGCTGCACACTCTGCTGACTAACCCCTCCCCCTCCCTCCCCCTCCGTGGGGAGGTTTTTAGAGGGGAGTGAGTGACCCAAGAGGGACACCGAGGTGGGTTAGAGTGAGGGATCAGAGCCCACATAGCAAAAGTGGGGTCCCCCCTTTTTTTTCTTTATAGCAGTCAATGAATAGGGGCCGAAGCACAAACCTGCAGCCGGGCTCTCTCATTCTCAGGCAGGAGGCAGGGAAGGGGTGGGCAGCAGGGTGTGTGGTCACAGCCACTTGAATGTAAACTCACTTCCCTGGTGCCTGGTTAATATTTATGAGGGGGCTGCAGGGAGGCTGGATTCTAATATCATACGTGTGTGTGTATGTGCACACCGATATTTTGAAGTCCTGAGCCTTGAACTGAGTGCCCCGTGCTTGCTAGGTAAGTGCATAACGGGTGAGCTGCATCCCTAGTATATATAAACCGATGACGTGACTACTCCGTGGCGTGGTTCAGGGGAAAACTTTTATTGTAGATAGGAGGGAGAGACCAGCCAGAGGCATCCGGGACTGTCCCGAGCAGGGAGAGGAAGCAGTGGACAGAACGTGGCCAGGAGACTGGACTCGGCCACGAGAGAGGAGGGGGAGAGAGAAGGGAGGAGGACAAGGATGAAGAAAAGGGAGGACCGAGAGAGCAGGAGACCAGGCTGAAATAGACCTCGACCCTCGACCGGCATAGCTGAAATACTGGGGCTTTACGGAGACTTGAGTAGCTGGGGGAGGGGAGCCCCCCAGCTCAAGGTAGGGGAGGAGGCAAGAGGAGTCAGGCCCCTGGGGTGCTGAGGGAGCATGCTAATAGGCACCACAGGTGGCCTTTTGTCCCTTTAGTGCCAGGGGACTGGCTTCGCCAGCTCCTGAGCTCAGAATACTGACTGTTGTCTAACCACCGGGATTTTGGGGGAGTGGAGTTTCCTTTGGACCTAGCCGTCACTTAATACTCCTAAAACGGGGGAGAGCCTCTCTCCCAAAGTTTAGTAATGGAGACGACTTACGGAAAGTAAGAGGTTGCTTCTGTGATTCCTAGAATGATGGGCCGTTTAATAATCCAGAATAGGAATCAGTTCTCGCTGGAGTCTCTAGATGTAGGATGTAAAAGTTAGACATTTTCCTCCAGGTGTGGTGGGTCACACCTGTAACCCCAGCCAGCTGGGATCCACATCCCAGCAGGAGCATCGTGTGGTCATGGGTCACAGGCTGCAGCTCAGTCCTGTGTCAGAAAACCAAACAAAAGCTTCCTCTGCGTGTCTCAGAAGACTCCCAACCGTCCCTGCTTTCCAGCAGGAGCTACATCCACGCGTAGCAGGGAAGGCAATGGCAGCTCCCAGCCTTCCCTGGCTCCCGGGTTGAGAGGCAAGCATGAGCCACCGTGGTGTCAGCAGTTAGAGCCCCCTGCAGGGCCCGCACTCACAGCAAGTCCCACGCCTCATTCACAAAGGGAATAATGCGCTGTCAGTGAAGACGCACCCACCCACTGAGCACATGCGCAGAGACAGAAGTCAGCCAGAGCCCACCAGGAGGGGCTGGCCCTGAGCGTGTGCTACTCAGTCCTAAGAAAGCAGCGGGGGGCCTGTGCACCGTGGCAGATGCCACACCCTCTCACACTCTGCCTTTTCTTCCTCAGGATGAGAAAGCGCCACTGCGAGAAAAGCCGCCTCCCTCCCCAGGTACTGGCTTTTTGGAGTTCACTACAGCGGGCATGCTTAGTGTTTGCAGGGTACCCAGGGTAGTCTCCTGTGTGATTAGGTCTGAGGTAGGTGTTAGCCACTGAATATTAGTGGGGTAGAGGGGTGGGCTGTCGGGAGAGGACACACGGTCTCTTTAGTCAGGCGAGTCCCCCGACAGAGCAATAACCACCTTACGTAGCAGGCCTGTGGCTGACGGCAACACACAGGAGCTGCTGGAAACTGAGCTCTCTCTCCTCACAGGGGATCACAGGTAGTTTATGCTGAGCACAACCATAAATTAAGGCCTTTAGCAGATGCACTGAGTGGGGGGGTTGGCGGTAGAGCCAGGAAACCTCTGCCGCCGGACTCAGACGCTATCTGAAAGCATCGATAGCCTTAGAAGTCGCTGGCGAGAGAATTAACCTGACAGTCAAAGGATACTAAGAATACTAAGATACTAAGAGGCAAGGTAGAAACTCCTCCCTGCCTCCTCGGGCCCTGCCGCCCCCCAACCTCCCAGGGTACCTTCCCCTGGGCACGCAGCCTCTCCAGATCCCAGGGACACCTCCCCGGGCGTAAGGGAACCGGTTGCTTCCGTGGGCTGTGGAATAAAGCGTTCGGTGTTTTTGATGTCCCTCTCGCTGTTTGCCGTTCACCTGTACCCTTTAGATGTCGCGGGTAGAGTACACCAAAGGTACACAGAAATAAGCAAAGGCAAGTTGGAGGAGCTAAGAGAAGAAGCCTTGCATCTGCGCGCCGCAAACCAGTCCCTCAGCCTCGAGCTGAGCACGACCAGACGGGCAATGCAGGAGCTGCAGCTGAGGCTCCAGGTGGTGGAAAAAGACAACAGGAGGCTGAAGGAGGCGGAAAAGGCGTCCACCCAGGAAGGTGCGGCCCGTGATGCCATTGCTACGGCACGGTCAGGGCCCTGCCCGCTTTTCGTTGTGAGAACCCACTTCCTGTTGTGTGTCAATGTGTATGTGGGTATTTATGTTGTAATACTCAAGACCCTTCATTAATACACTTTTTAAAAAAAGATTTATTTATTTATTATGCATATAGTATTCAGCCTGCATGTATGTCTGCACGCCAGAAGAGGGCACCAGATCTCATTACAGATGGTTGTGAGCCACCATGTGGTTGCTGGGAACTGAACTCAGGACCTCTGGAAGAGAAGCCAGTGCTCTTAACCTCTGAGCCACCTCTCCAGCCCTCATTAATACTCTTAATGCTGACTGAATTTTGATTTTATCTGCTATATCATTTTGTTAAGTGCCATAACTTGTATAAATTATGATACACATGCACATTATATAAATGTATGCACAGTTCACTACAAGGGAACAAAAAGGCTGACTAGTAGTTTATATAAAATCTGATGGCTCTGGTGCCATTGACTGCCGTGTGATGTTAAGTCGATATTTTTCAGCAGTCAGGCCTGAATTACTTTCCCTGAGGAAGCAAGGCCAAGACTTGATGGATGAAAACGAGGGGCTGAAGATGATTGTCCACCGCCTGAACGTAGAACTCAGTCGCTACCAAACAAAATTCAGGCATTTGTCTGAGGAAGAGGTATGGTTTCCAATATGAAAAACCAGTTTGTTTGTCTTTTTTATTTTTTATGTATGTATTTATTTATTTATTTATTTTTATTTTGTTTGTTTCGAGACAGGGTTTCTCTGTATTGTTTTGGAGCCTGTCCTGGAACTCACTCTGTAGACCAGGCTGGCCTCGAACTCTCGAACTCTCACAGAGATCTGCCTGCCACTGCTTTTTTTTTTTTTTAAATGATGCTGATTCTTCTTCTTTTTTTTTTTAACGATTATTTATATGTTATGTTTACAGTGTTCTGTCTGCATGTGCACCTGCACACCAGAAGAGGGCGCCAGATCTCATTACAGATGGTTGTGAGCCACCATGTGGTTGCTGGGAATTGAGCTCAGGTCCTCTGGAAGAGCAGCCGGTGCTCTTAACCTCTGAGCCATCTCTCCAGCTCCAGTTTGTTTGTCTTCAGCCTTTACTGTTGAATTGGTTTCTGGTTCTTGAGAGGTTCTTAGTAGCGCACAGCCTTTAATTCCTGCATTTGGGTGACAGAAGGCAGGTGGATCTCTGTGAGTTCGAGGCCAGCCTGGTCTACAGAGCGAATTCCAGGACAGGCTCCAAAACAATACAGAGAAACCGTGTCTTGAGAAAAAACAAAAACTCATTCCAGTGCCTGTACATGCACGCACACACACACACACACTTTCTCTCTCACTCACTCATACATAGCCTGTCACCCTGTCTTGAGTTTTTGAGCTTGAGGCCAGCCCTGGCTACTTACTGAGTTCAAGTGCTGTCTGAACTACACATTGAGACTTTGTCGTTACAAAAAAGAAAAGAGGAGGCTGGAGAGATGACTCAGCAGGTAAGAATACATGCTGGTCTTGCGGAGTTGTTCCCAGCACCCACATTGGATAGCTCACAACAGCCTGTAGCTCCAGCTCTACGGTCCTCACGCCCTCTTTGGGCCTCTTGAGAGCATTGCACTCACGTGCACATACACAGACAGAAAGACATTTTGTTGCCTTGGTTTTTGTCTTCTGAGACAGGGTGGCCCTGTCTGTCCTGGAATTGGCTCTGTAGACCAGGCTAGCCTTGAACTCAGGGCCTGCCTCTGAAAGCGTAATTAATTATGGCATTAAAAAACATAGTATAGCCAGGCGGTGGTGGCGCAAGCACCAGCAGAGGCAGGGGGATCTCTGCGAGTTGGAGACCAGCCTGGTCTACAGAGCCAATTCCAGGACAGGCTCCAAAGCTACACAGGGAAACCCTGTCTCTAAAACTGCCCCTCCCCCCAAAACCAAACCAAAACCAAGAAAATCCAAAGTATTTCTTCCTCATGGCTGTGGCAGTTCCTGATAGGAACAAGGGGGCAGAGGTCTGTGCTGGCTCTCGGTTCAGGGCCACAGCCCATGGTGGCAAGGGAGGCGTGGTCCCGAAGCACGGTGTGACTGGTTACATCTCTGCAGATCAGGAGGTCAAGAGCCAGCCGGCTAGCACTGCTACCCTGCCGCGCTCCAGGCCTGCCTGTGGCCCTGTGTCTTGTCAGCTGGGCTGCACCTCCTGACGTTCTTCAGCCTCTGCGGACGGCTCCGTCAGCTAGCGGGCTGTGGCTGCGTTCCACAGATGGCAGGAAGGCCGAGCTCGGGACCATTCCCCCCTCCTCCACCCTAGCCCAGAATGAAGGCGGCAAACACCGTATAAACACTGGGGCAGTGCCAGGGTGTGTGGCTGAGGTAACCGACCAAAGGGTCACAGTTGCTGCCCCGTCCCAGCCCCTTTCCTCAGAGTGCCAACTAACTGCTGTTACAGGTAGTCGGTGGGTTTTAACTCCAGTGAGCACAGCGCCCGGAATCCAAGCTAAGCCAGGAGGCCAGGCCTCTGCTCGTAGAGAACTCTGGGACGTGGCTGTGGGGGTGGGGGGCGGCTGTGGGGGAGGGGGAGGGTGCAGACATTCCGGGCTCAGGAGAACACCTCGCTGACAATGCTAGCCTTGCTCTGCTGAGGCAAGCCAGGCACAGCACTCTCCCCTTCTGAGGGTTTCCGTGAGTCCTGCCTGTAGGCTTTGGAGTTGTTGGTTTTGTTTTTAAATGTACAGGAGGTGAACGCAAGGCCTCATACATTCTAGATAAGTACTGTACACCAACCGCACCCCCAACCTCTGGCTTTCTTTTGACTTCTTTTTTTTTTTTTTATATAGCTTTGACATACAGGTTGAGTATCCCTTAGGCAAAAGTGCTTGGGATTGGTTGTATTTTCGATTTTGAAGCTATTGACTGTTTCATGGACTTTACTTGATAGGCAACCTTAAAAAACATCTTTTTTTTTTTTTAAGATTTATCATGTATACAGTGTTCTGCCTATATGTATGGCTGTGGGTCAGAAGAGGGCGCCAGATCTCATTACAGATGACTGTGAGCCACCATGTGGGTGCTGGGAATTAAACTCAGGACCTCTGGAAGAGCAGCCAATGCTCTTGGCCTCTGAGCCATCTCTCCATCCCCAAAAGGCATCTTTTTAAAGTTGGGATTTTGCAGCATTTGATTTGAGATTGTCTGATTAGCATCCGCTTAATTAAATTAATTAACCCATTCGTTAATTGTGTTGTTTTAGCCCAGGCTGGCCTTGAACTCCCGATCCTCGCGGCTCCACCTCCCAAGTGTTTGGGATTGCAGGTGTTGACACCTCCGCTACTGAGTTCTGCCATTGCACATGTACAGTTGGTGGAGTTAGTGTGTCCAGACTTACCCAGCTATCAGTCCGTTCTGGAACATTCCCACCCCATCGGGACGTTTCATGCCGGCCAAGTTTCCTGTTCTCCCAGCATGCATGTCCTCTACACCAGCCCCGGGAAACGATTTGTTCACTTTCTTTCTTTGTTCATTGAGACGGGACCTCTCTGTATAGCCCTGGTGGTCCTGGAACTCCGCGTAGACTAGGCTGGCCTCAAACAGAGATAAAGGCATGCCCCACTACACCTGTCCTGATTTCCAGTCTGATTCTGGGGATTTGCCTATTCTGAACAGTCATAGAAATGCGAATGCGTTATGAATGGTCTTTTGTGGCTGATTTCTTTCATTTTGCATAATACTAATCTTTCCTTTTCAGTGATGCTGGTAATTGAACCCTGATCCTTGTACATGTTAGGCAGGCACTCTACCGGCTCCAGTGTTATTTATTTACTTCTAAGACTGCAGCCCAAGCAGGGCCTCACTGTGCAGCTCAGGCTGACCTCAGCCTGCAGCAGGAGCCTCCTGCCTCAGCTTCCCAAGTGTTGGGACTATAGGTATGCACCACCACACCAGCTCTAAGTATTAACAGAATTAAGCTGGGGGAGGTCACATGATCCAAAACACATTGCCCAGACCACGTCCTTCTGTAGGGTTGTGGTTGGGCCAGAGCAAGTGGGCTCAGTGACAACTTACAGCCACCTGTGTTCTTACCCCTTGCGTCCTGCTCTGTACACTTTTCATGTGACCTCTGCAAATGCCACATTTTCTATGACATTGTCCCTAGTCCCTCCCTTCAGATGTGGTCCACTCTTACTTATTTTGGGAACGGGAGAACATGTGCACACTCGTGTGTGTGTGTGTGTGCGCGTGCGTGCGTGCATGCGTGCATGCGTGTGTGTGTGTGTGTGTGTGTTTGTGTGCGCGTGTATACTCATGCATGGGCGCACATGAGGAGGCCAAAGGAGACTGTCAGTGTCTTCCTCTCCTCCCTCCCTCTCTTCCTGTCTCCTTCCTTCCTCTTTCTTTCTTCCTTCTTTTCCTTCTTTCTTTCTCCCCATCCTTTCTTTCTCTTCATGTGGAAACATGAAATTTGGAGATAGTCTGAATGTTTAAAAATAGTGTGTTTCAGTGTTGTTTCCTGGTTTTTATATAGTGCTGTGTTAACTAAATGAATGTTTTGTTCCCAGGAAACACGTTGCAGCATTTGGGGGACTCAGGCATTGCTCTCAAGCGCTTCCCATGTATATGCACACACATGAGCACAGAGGAAGACGTCTGTTCTAGGCTAAGAGTGTCTGTCCACCACATGGAACTTGAGAAACAGCCTGACCGTGTCTCCATTGTTTGCTTTATTTTCAGCTTTCCCATACCGAAGGCCTCCCGTCAGAGGGTCCCATACCTCCCTGGTTGGTAAGTGAAAGTTATTTAATTTCAGGCCCATGTTCTCTGGTTCTAACAAACTACTAAGAACCATCTAGAATAAGTATGCTTTCTTTCCCTTTGAAAAACATGATGAGCTTTGTGGTGGTGTCACACACCTCTAGTCCCAGCCCTTGGAAGGCAGAGGTAGGCAGATCTCTGAGTTCTCAGCCAGCCTTGTCTAGAGGGAGAATTTAGGACAGCCAGGGCTATACAGAGAAATCGGGGAGGGAGGAGGGGATTGTGTTGCAGTGTAAGAAACAATGTTAATCACCCTTTATCACACTCCTCCCCCACAGCTGGATGTCAGGTATCTCTCACCACTGCTGCTGGCTTATGAGGACAGAATGAAAGAGAAGGATGAACTCCTCGCCACCCTGGAGGTAGGTTGACTTATGTCTTGAGACAAATGTTTCAGGTAAAACCATTCAGACCCCAGAAACAGTGCTGAACGTGGGTACTTCAGCGTTTGTTGTAGGACGGAGGAGCATGGTAGGGTGGCTGGAGGAAAAGAGGGAGGAGAGGGAGGGAGGGAGGGAGGAAGGAAGGAAGCTGTGTTTCGCTGAGCGAGAGGGGTGGGTGGCGCTAGACCGAGAGGTGTACGGGGAGCAGTGCTTTGGGAAACCGTAGTCCCATGCGAGTGGAGGTCTCAGGAGGCAAAGGAGGAGTGTAACGAGGATTCTTCCCGCCAGCCTGGTTCCAGAGCCGCATCAGTACCAAATGAACACGCAGGACGCTGTATTAGTTACAAAGCTGTTGGCTGTTTGCTATGGTTTCTCACTGGCTAGCTCTGACTTAATTATTAACCCGTGACTACTAATCTATATAATTTTGCAAGGACTTATCTTACCAAGGACACCAGCCTCATGCACCCTGTCTTCCTGGGATCACATGGCGACTCTCCACTCTTGACTACATTTCCCAGAATCCTCCTTGACTCCTAGTCCCGCCTATCTTGCTTCCCTATTGGCCAACAGCGCTTTATTTATCAACCAATAAGACAAACATATACACAGAAGGCCTTCCCCCATCATCTCCTCTTCTCTGTCTAAATAAAAAGAAAGGTTTTAACTTTAACATAGTCAAATTATATACAACAGTACAGTTATCAAGTAAGAACTATAGTTACAATATTTAGTCTATTAACATTTAGTAAGATTTAAAGAAAGTATTTTATCATCTATCCCATGCTTATGAATCTAAAGTCCCTATATGTAGCTTATCTTTTATCATAACTAAGGAAAACTATAACTACAACTATCTGTCTTCAACTCCATCAAAGACCACAGAAGGATAATATATAAATTTTAGAACTGACAGGGACATCTCGCTTCCTGGACAGTCACCCGGAGTTCCTCTGTAACGTTGGGGCATCCATCTTCAGCTCATAGGCCACAGTGTGTCTGGAAGGCTTCTCAGCAAAGCAGGAAAATTTAAACTGTCCATCTGCATTGACAGTCTATCAGTCATTTTTCTGTGTCCTGCAGAGTGTCTGGCAGACTCTTCCATGAAGTACGAACCCTTTAGGACTGTCTGTCTTGTTTTGAAAGTTCATCAGTCACTTTCCTGTGGGTCCTGCATGTCCAGTTTGTACAGCAATGGTCAAACAGTCCAGGCAAGAGCAGCGTCTTGCTCAAATGGCTAGTTTTGCCATATTGAAAGTAAACTCCATCGTGAGTTTCTTCAATGTCCATCATCTTCTCTGACATAGATTAGTGCTGCCAGGAACAAACATTTCCCTTTGTCAAGAAAAACCCTAGGCCAGTAGTGGCACACACCTTTAATCCCAGCACTCCGGAGGCAGAGGCAGGCAGATCTCTGTGAGTTCGAGACCAGCCTGGTCTACAAGAGCTAGTTCTAGGACAGCCTCCAAAGCTAAGAGAAGCCCTATCTCGAAAAACCAAAAAAGAAAAACAAAAGCCATTTTAAATGCCATTTTATGAAGGTCTTTGAAAGGTCTGAAGACTATCTGTCCATCTCAAATATATCTCTGTATATCTAGAAAACATCACTAACCTAAGTATAAGTTTTATACTTAATTATATATTACATTATTAAAAGAACTACATAAACAAAATATCTAAACAAGTGGAGAAATATATATATATATATATCATAAAATTGATCTTAAATTTGTATCAATAAATGAAAATCCATTCCAAGACAAAGTATTCATTTCTATGTCATATTCCCTTTTTTCCCTTTAGAAAAAGATTGACTGTGATCATTACCATGTATAAGCAACCCTGTATAAATGAAAACAAACATTTATAAACAGTATTTGGGAATGTGGGTGTTGTCTCTCCAAACTACTTCCTGCTGTTAGGGAGCGCTGTCTTGGGGATCCTAAGAAGACCCAGAAATCCTGGCTGTAGTGGTCTGTAACTGAATACTCTCAGCGTTTTGGGATGTTGGATCCCTGGGCCACTGCTTCAGGGGGTCTTGCTTTATCAAATCATGTAAGTCTGGAAGGAATCCATAGCTTTTCATTTTCTGTGGAATCACAAGCAAAAACTCTTTTCTCAAGTAATCTGCCCTTACATTTAAATTTAGAAGTCAAAGCATTTTTAAAATATGTAAGTTGGATTAATTCAGCAGATTTATGATAAAGTGTATTTTAGCAATTGCACTACTGAAAGACAAACAGTGTCCACACTCTCTATGTAGTTTCCATCTTTACGTGGCTTTTTTATTACTCTATATATTTTAATTTCACTTTGTACTTTTTTGGGACAGGGTTTCTCTGTGTACTTTGGCTGACCTTGAACTCCCTCTGCACACCAGTCTGGCCTTGAAATCACAGAGATGTGTTTGCCTCTGCCTTACAGTGCTGGGATTAAAGGCGTGTGCCACCACACCCAGCTACTCTTTTTTTCCCCCCTGTGGAGCCTCTTTAAAAAAACCCTGCGGGTTTTTTTGCTGCTTATGCTGAGTCAGGAAGACTCCCTTAAGGGAGCCGCTCGAGTCTCTGCTTGTCTCTAGCAAAACAGAGCCCACCCGAGAAAAATGCTGCCACCAAGAAGCCGTGCTTCTCTCTGTTCTTCCGTTTTTAAAAATCCCTTTTAAAACTTTTGTTAAGTGGAAATTTGTGCCCCAAGTCTGCGTGCCATTATGTAATAAGAATTCTTCCCGCCAGCCTGGTCCCAGAGCCCCATCAGTCCCAAATGAACACACAGGAAGCTGTATTAATTATTAAGCTGTTGGCTGTTGTTTCTTATGGGCTAGCTCTGACTTAATTATTAACCCGTAACTACTAACCTATATAATTTTACAAGGTCTTATCTTACCAAGGACGCCAGCCTCATGCACCCTGTCTTCCCAGGATCACGTGGCTACTCTCCACTCTTGACTACATTTCCCAGAATCCTCCTTGACTCCTAGTCCCGCCTATCTTGCTTCCCTATTGGCCAACAGCGCTTTATTTATCAACCACTAAGGCAAACATACACACAGAAGGACTTCCCCCTCAGAGGAGCAGTGGGTGCTGTGCCATCCCTGCACTAGAACAGATGCTGGGCAAACGGAGGCCATGCTCAGTGTGGTTTAGGGAATCTTAATGCTCCCAGGTCCTAGGAAGCCCAGACCCCAGACGTGCGTTGTGATCGACTTGTTGGCAGTATTAGAATTTGTATTAGTATTTAGGATTTGTCTGTTTTGTTTCGTTCACTATTTCCTGAGAATGGCAGCCATTCCAGGTGTAAGGAGACCAGGCCTGGGCGTCATCAATACCCCTGGTCTCTTCTGTGGCCCGAGAACCTGAGGTCCTCCCTAAGGGGCCAAGCATTGGAAGGAGAGTTGGTCTTTAAGGAATCCTAAATGGGATGGCTCCTTTCAGAGCCCAACAGCCTGGTCTTCAGTCATGCCTCCCATTACCTGCCCCATCCCACGAAACTTACAACATTGGATTTTTTAAAAAGATTTATCTATTATATATACTGTGTTCTGCTGCATGTGTCCATGCAGGCCATAAGATGGCACCAGATCTCATTAAAGGTAATTGTGAGCTACCATGTGGTTGCTGGGAATTGAACTCAGGGCCTCTGGGAGAGCAGTCAGTGCTCTTAACCGCTGAGCTGCCTCTCCTGGACATTGGCTTCTTAAGAGCATTGACTATCTTGTGCTCACTGGTCAAAAATCAGTAATAAAATTTCCATTTTGGTGCTCCTTTTAAGTCGGGGTCATCCCACGCTTTCTAGAAGGCCAGCTAGTAATACTGCAGTCTTTGTGGGCCACGCGGCTTCTGCCCGCAGGCTATCAGCCTGCTTTTGTAGCATCGCAGCAGCTGCGGGTGGATGCCAGTGATGGGTTGGGCCTGTGTTCCCATGAAACTCAGTAAAAACAGACAGCGGGCCCAGTGGCTTCAGTTTGACACGACAGCTGAAACATATAAAGAGCTGTGTAGTCTGTCGGCAGCAAAGAACGCTCCGATCAGAGGCGAGGGGAGGGAAGTGGCAGGCAATGCTGCCTGCAGAGCCGACACGCTGCGGCTGTAGCTCCCGCGTGCACAGAGCCCTAGGTTCATTCAGTACTGTAGGTCAGTCAGCAAGAGGCCATTGCACGACACCCAAGGTTCCCACCACAGCTCCGCACAACATGCCAGGTGTCAGCTGGGACACCAGAGTGAGGCCCAGACCAGGAGCTCACGTCTGCCCACGCTGCGTGCCTCAGGGTGTCTGGCAGTGCAAGCGGATACCTCTGAGCTGGGAGCTGTCTGTGTGCTCTGCCTAGGACAAGGTTAGGAACCTCCACACTAACACCCTTTACCTGCTCACGCAAAGCGTTCATCTAGGACCAGAAATTCTTTTTATATAAAAACTCCAATTTCCCTGCAGAGTGAGTTCCAGGACAGCCACCACTACACAGAGAAAGTCTGTCTTGAAAAACCAAAGCGAAAACTCCAGGTTACCCCCCTCTAAGGTCTAAACAAAGGAAGCCTTTCAGTCTCTGGTTATTTTGTTTCGGGTTTTTTCCCCTCTAATCTCTTCCTTTAGAATCTCCAGTTATTTGGCAGGCACAGCAAGGCAGCACCAGGGTAATAGTCAGGTACTTAAAGCCCAAGCTCTTTGTCCCTGTGTGCAGTGACCCTGCAGTGGCTTGGATGCTGTCGCAGTGGACTGTGCTCCTGAGCACACAGTGGGGCTTTGCAACCCGGAGACCAGGCCTGGTACTAGAGCAGGACTCTGCCGTTGTCCTTGCTCCTACGTCTGAGTTCCCCAAGTAGCAGCCTCGCGGCGGATCGCCCGTGTGTGCGCACGAGTGACGGTGTCCATGCATTTCATTTCAGGAGGAAATGAAAACCTTTAGGATGCGAGTCCAGGAAGTGGTGAAAGAAAATGAAGGATTGCACCACCAGTTAAATAAGAGTAGCCCTGTCGCCAGCGAGGAATGGCAAGTGACATCTGTTAACTTACAACCCAGTAGGAACGGGCTTCATGACATCACCAAATACATAGATAGATGCGTGTCACTTTTTAAAAAAATCAAGCACTTTATCCAAAGCCTGCACAACTCAGTGAACCTCTTTACAGTTAGAATAGGCAATTGGGACATTAAAATTTACACTTTCAGTATCCAGTACATTTTATGCAGGTAATCCACCAACCAAACCCAAAAAGATCATGACAAGAATTAGAACAAAAGTAACCATTAGTTTTAAGTCTCTTTAACAATTCATGTCCCCTCCATGCGTTCACATTCAGGTTAATTTTGGTGTATGATGTTTTTATTTGTTTACAAGGTTCCCCCCAAAAAAGTTTACAAATAAATTTTTAAAGGAAGGGTTTCTAGGACACGAGTAAGATGCAACCCCAGTAAACTCTTCTAAACTGAACCTTAACATTTTAATTTTTATTCTTTGACATGCTGAGGGTAGAACCCAGGGCCTCAGGATTTGCTGGCCATGCACTCTCCCACCAAGTCCCCTCCCCGGCCCTCAGATTTGTGAAGACAGTCACATTGTGTAGCTCTAAACCAGCCTTGGCTTGTGGTTATGTGACAGCATACCTAGCTCTAAATTGGTACGTTAGAGATCATTGTTATCATTATCATCATCATCATCATTATTATTATTTTGGCTAGGTGTGGTGGTTTAACCTTTAATCCCAGCACTCAGACAGAGGTAGAAGGATTTCTGTGACTTGGAGGCCAGCCTGGTCTACATAGGGAGTTCCAAGTCAGCCAAGGCTATATAATGAGACGCTTTATCAAAACAAACAAACAAAAGCCAAGAAAAAGTTTTTAAAATATGACCCTGGGCCTTTACCTGAATAGTAGAGCTCTTTACCAGAAGCTCATTTGCTCTGCCTGTGTCCCGAAGCGGCACCTCCCCAGGGCCGTTCAACCCCTCCACGCATAGCGGGCTTGTGAATAGGAAGTCTGGCTGAGACTGCTCGTGGCCGAAACCTCCACTCCCCTGCCGCTTCCAGTGCTGCCCCCTCCCTGCAGCCTGTGCACAGCCTTCCCACAGCGCAGCGTGGCCTTCCCATAGCACTGTCTGGTCTTCCCACAGCACAGCGTGGCCTTCCCATAGCACTGTCTGGTCTTCCCACAGCACAGCGTGGCCTTCCCATAGCACTGTCTGGTCTTCCCACAGCACAGCGTGGCCTTCCCATAGCACTGTCTGGTCTTCCCACAGCACAGCGTGGCCTTCCCATAGCACTGTCTGGTCTTCCCACAGCACAGCGTGGCCTTCCCATAGCACTGTCTG